ATGAAACTGGACCATTGTCTAACCCCATATACAAAGGTAAACTCAAAATGGATCAAAGACCTGAATGTAAGTCATGAAACCATTAAACTCTTGGAAAAAAACATAGGCAAAAACCTCTTAGACATAAACATGAGTGATCTCTTCTTGAACATATCTCCCCGGGCAAGGAAAACAACAGCAAAAATGAGCAAGTGGGACTACATTAAGCTGAAAAGCTTCTGTACAGCGAAAGACACCATCAATAGAACAAAAAGGAACCCTACAGTATGGGAGAATATATTTGAAAATGACAGATCCGATAAAGGCTTGACGTCCAGAATATATAAAGAGCTCACACGCCTCAACAAACAAAAAACAAATAACCCAATTAAAAAATGGGCAGAGGAACTGAACAGACAGTTCTCCAAAAAAGAAATACAGATGGCCAAGAGACACATGAAAAGATGCTCCACATCGCTAATTATCAGAGAAATGCAAATTAAAACTACAATGAGGTATCACCTCACACCAGTAAGGATAGCTGCCATCCAAAAGACAAACAACAACAAATGTTGGCGAGGCTGTGGAGAAAGGGGAACCCTCCTACACTGCTGGTGGGAATGTAAATTAGTTCAACCATTGTGGAAAGCAGTATGGAGGTGCATCAAAATGCTCAAAACAGACCTACCATTTGACCCAGGAATTCCACTCCTAGGAATTTACCCTAAGAACGCAGCAATCAAGTTTGAGAAAGACAGATGCACCCCTATGTTTATCGCAGCACTATTTACAATAGCCAAGAATTGGAAGCAACCTAAATGTCCATCGGTAGATGAATGGATAAAGAAGATGTGGTACATATACACAATGGAATACTACTCAGCCATAAGAAGTGGAAAAATCCAACCATTTGCAGCAACATGGATGGAGCTGGAGAGTATTATGCTCAGTGAAATAAGCCAAGCGGAGAAAGAGAAATACCAAATGATTTCACTCATCTGAGGAGTATAGGAACAAAGGAAAAACTGAAGGAACAAAACAGCAGCAGAATTACAGAACCCAAAAATGGACTAACAGGTACCAAAGGGAAAGGAACTGGGGAGGATGGGTGGGCAGGGAGGGATAAGGGGGGGGAAGAAGAAGGGGGGTATTAAGATTAGCATGCATGGGGGGGAGGGAGAAAGGGGAGGGTGGGCTGCACAACACAGAGAGGACAAGTAGTGACTCTACCACATTTTGCTAAGCTGATGGACAGTAACCGTAATGTGGTTGTTAGGGGGGACCTGATATAGGGGAGAGCATAGTAAACATAGTATTCTTCAGGTAAGTGTAGATTAAAAATTTAAAAAAAAAAAAGAAAGAAAGAAAGAAAAGGGGGATTACTCCTTAACAGGATAAAACTATTGGTAAATCAAAGATCAACGCATGCTTTAAATATCCTTAATGTTGATCACTTAAAGGGTGTCAGATGATCAGCTATGGAGGTACTCTTTTCTGATAATATTCCTTTCTCTTAATTAAAAAAAAAAAAAAAAAGCAGTTACTGTGTGCTGACCTCCAATGAGTTCTGCACAGTGGTATAGAGGGCATGTCAAAGTGTGGGCAAAGGGTCTGTTTGTTTCTACGCAGAAGATCAAGGCCTAGCTTGGATACCCAGAAAATGAACTAAGATACGATATGAGGAGGAGCTTCCGGCATCAGCACTCTCTGGAGGACTCGTGCCGGGGGATGATCATCAAAAAGCCTCCACAGGGATCCGGACGATGCTGCGGTTGTGGCTGCATCCAGCCCACCGTCTCCTGGACTTGCCATAAGAAGGAGGAGGGAGATGTCTAGGCTGGCATGTGCATACAGTGAGACAACGAATTTGACTGGATCTGTACTGTTGGAACTCAACCAGGAGTTGGGAGGGGTGCAAGTTGTAGCACCCCAAAATCTCATGACTATAGACTATCTATGGTTAAAAGAACATATGGGATGTGAACAGATCCCAGAAATGGGCTGCTTTAATTTGTCTGATGGTTCAAGTACAGTTGGAAAATATCCATCATATCATAGATAAATTTTCACAAATGCCTAGGGTGCCTAAATGGTTTTCTTGGCTTCACTGGAGATGGCTGGTAATTATAGATTTGCTTTGTTTATGTCACCGTATTCCTATTATGTTAATATGTGTGTGCAAATTAGTTAGTAGTTTAAAACCTATACATACTTAAGGTACTATACAAGAAGATATGTCAAAGAAATAATCAATCCTCCCAAGTTTCCTTCATATGCTACATCTATAGCTTTTCTTCTTCCTTCCTAATTACAACCCTTAAATAGAATTCGTGCCTCATATCGAATTTACCGAGTATCATAATTCCTCCAGGTGGTAAAGATACCTCGAGACAAGTGCTGGGCATAGAAGCCACAGGGCATAAATCTGCAAAGAAGTAAAAAGCTAACCTTTGCAAACAATATGGCTTCTCTCTCACTTACCAACTTTACATTTCCCTGTATGGCCCCGGAAGATGACTGGTTAGCCAGAGACGGGTAAGATTCCTCAAGGGAGGAACAACCTAAGACAGGCACAGTCGCAGGGGGGCCATCAGGTGAGAATTTGGGGATCAACAGAGGTGAGGCTCAGAACCTCACCCCCCCTGCTTTGAGAGAAATCTTCTGCATCCGTGGATGTCTTGCTGCCCTTGTCTAGCCTGGATTAATACTTAGTCCATAGGCACACACCTGATCATCTGATCATCTACATTTGCCTTCTTACAGCACTAAACTATGTTTTCTACCTTTATCTTGCATCTACCTACCACTTCAGCATTTTATTAAAAATAAAAATAATAATAATAATAGGAGAAATGTGGGATCAACATATAAATCAAGTACAAAAATCAAATGAATATTCATATTTGACCTGATGGTTTATAGGTCATATTGCATGATCAAAACCGAAAGTTTCTGTGATGAATGCCCTTGTACTGTTCACCATGTAAGAATTTATTCACTCTGTAAGAATTCGTTCACCATGTAAGAACTTGTTCGTTATGCTTCAGAAGATTGGAGACTGACGAGAATTAGGCTTGAGATGGATTAATGATTGTACATTGAGCATTGACCCCCCTATACTGAATTTTATTGTTGTTAACAACCATTTGATCAATAAATATGAGAGATGCCCTCTCAAAAAAAAAAAAAAAAATCTGGATAACCAAAAAACCAAAGGAGACTTTATTCTAAGGAAAACAAACAGAATAATCTCAACCTGAGGGTCTCACAAAACATCAGAGCTCAATTCAGTGAGAACTTACCTCCCAGACATGAGCAGAATGGCACCTCAGAGACACAAGGGGCCTCAGATGCGCACATTAGTACTACAGTCGAAGGTTCCAGTCTAAGGTAGTAAGAGTTTCCACAGAATCTCTGCAGATTCTTCATTTCTGACAATGCCCCCCATCCACAGATCACCAAGAACACACCTGTAGTTGAACAAGGGAGATGGCACACAATGGGAAGCCCATCCATCATGGGCATCTCAGCAAGCATTAGTTAGAAAAGACTTCTTATAGTATTTGGCCTTTTGTTGCATGATTTTCTTGCAGAGTTTCAGAAAGGGGAGATTTGCTCTCGGTTGGATGCTCTCAGGGAACAGGGATAATTATTTTTGGTTATCTTGATTCATATCTAGAAGTTAGGAATGGATGGAGCTAAATCTGTACTTGTTAAAGAAGCACCAAACTGGTTGTATTTGGTCAATTTTGTGGTTTGGAAAATGTCCTTGTTTTTGTGTTCAGATATGATTATGGAATGGTCTTTCTCTCAGTCCGTTAGAGTGGCTTTGTCTGATGTTGGTGTTCTGTGAAATTGTTTATGCTCAACAGGACACCACCACAGCCTAGCTGTTAGTTACCAGGCCTACTCCTACCAACACCAAGGCTTCTGCAGGTAGTGTTAACTAGCTCCCAGCTGTCACGAGCTGCTTTTCTCTTTTTCATCAGCTACACTTAAAAAATCAAAATTGGCAACCCCTTTTGGTAAATCATGCTCTCTACAAGTCCCCACAGCATTACTGCCTTTTGGCCCTCCTCACATGTAACACTCTTACTTGTCCCCTGGCATCTAAATTCATATCCCTCACTAAGCAGAAAAGGAACCCCTCAGAAGTGACTTGCCTAAGATCATCCAGTGAACTGGTGTTAGGGTGTAAACTACAACTCTGACTCTGTGTTTAGTTTTCCCTCCAGTGAATCCCTCTCAACCTAACAGATCTAGTCTGATCTTGTTTTTATGTTCTCATTACAAAACCCACACTTCTTATCACACTTTATTGTCACTGCGTTCCTATCTTATTTATTGTTTTGGGATTGAGTGTCTCACGGTATTTGCCAAGATTCTAAATTGCTCAGCTGCTTAAGCCACCCTTGACATTCTTTCTGCTACTCAAAAACACGAAGTGTGCTCCTGCGTAAGGGTCTGTGTATTTGCCCTTCCTGGAACTCTCCTCCCTCGCACCTCCATGTCGCCACTTCTGCCCAGTTTCAGCTCAGTATCACCTCCTCAGAGAGGCCCTCCGTGACGACCTTACCTAAGGGCACACCCTAGCACTACTGCCACCTCCTCAGGAGGCTACCTCCGTTTAGCTTCCTTTAAGAGCTTTCCTTAAGAGCTTCCCTCGATGCTTTGTTGGCAGCTCTCCTCCGTGAAATGCTCGGAGTTGGGGCAGAGAAACCTTGCCAAATCCCGTCTCTCTGGGCCTCAGTTTTCTCTTTATGCCCGCGAATCGCTCCGAGCGCAGACACCCAACCACCGGTCTGGGACGTCGCTTTCTACAAACTGACAGAGGGCCTGATCCCTTCTCGATCTAGTGTCCTGGTCTTGCGAAGCGAGCTCGCCTCGCGTAGCCCCTATCCCGCCCGGCGCAATTAGCACGCGAGCTCTCAACCGGCACAAAGCCATTACGCATGCTCCGCTCCTCCGGGGGCGGGACCTTGAAGCGCCTGCGCAGCTCCTCGGTCGGGTTTCTGGGCGGTGCCGGCGTGATGGGGCTGAAGGCTGGCGTCGCTGAGTAGCGGCGGCTAGTGGGCGTGTGGGCCCTGAGGGTCTGGCCCAAGGGCTCGGGTCCGGGCGTCTTTCGGAGCCGGTGGAGAGCGCCGAAAGAGCCTAGGATCACCGCGGGCCGCCACCCTCTGGCATGTCGGCCGAGGCTTCAGGCCCTGCGGCGGCAGAGGCCCCTTCCGTGGAAGTCCCAAAGCCCTCAGGTCTCCAGCCTGGCTCCTCTGCCTTCGGTCTCAGTCCACTGATCCCGAACAGTAAGTACGTGAAGCTGAACGTGGGCGGCTCGCTGCACTACACCACGCTCCGCACCCTCACGGGACAGGACACCATGCTCAAGGCCATGTTCAGCGGCCGTGCGGAGGTGCTCACGGACGCTGGAGGTACGCCGCGCCGTCCTTGCCCCTGTCTTTGATCGCCTAGTCTCATGACCTTTCTCTCGTCTCATTACCATCCAGTCAGCCCATTCTCAACGCCCTCCATCCCTTTCTCTCGTCTCTCCTTTCTCATTCATAATCTCCTCGTCTAATTTTTTACCCCCAACAATAACCAACGTTTATAGAACCGCTCGCAACTCTTTTCAGGCTCTTTGGAAAGTAATTCAACATGTTACTTCAGAATTTCATTACCACTCCCCCTAGTTCTCCGTCTTCACCCCTCAGCTCAAAAAACTTTGGAAACCAACCCTACTGCCAGCAGCACTCTTCCAGGCACCTTCATCGGCTTCTTGCAGCTACCTGGCCTTTTGTTTGCCCCTCTTCTTCAGCACTGCTAACAACCAGCCTGGAGAGTTGGAGGATCTTGCGTGTCTGTGTGTTTCCCTGACACAGGTCCCTGTACACTCAAGGAATCCATCTGTAAATGCAGATTGTAGAAAGCGGCTGCTTTGGGTTTGCCAGGGACACCAGAATGGAGGGTATACAGTTATCTTTGGCAGGTGTACCTTACTGTCTTGGACTATTGAATTCAGGTTTGGTTTCCACATGTCCAAGTGGAACATGAAAGGTCTTTTTTTTGCGGGGGGGCGGGATAGGGAGTACTCAGAGGGGGTTAAAACAAAGATTGTGAGAGCAGGAAAATAAAAAATTGGGAGGTGGAGTTCAGTCCTCAAATATCTGAAGGTCAAGACTTTATTCATTAAAAAAAATAGTATTTGTAAAGTGCCAGTTAATGCTGGAGATATTTTGGTAAACGAATCTGACTAGATATGCCTTATGGAGTTTACTTTTTTGTGGGGGTAGAGAGAAAACAATAAGCTAGTAAACATACCAAAAAAAATGTAATTGCAAATAGTTGTAAGTTCTGTAAAGAATAAAAAGGTTAAATGGTAGTGAACTAGAGAGAATAGGGTAGACATTTTCATAGGATGGTCAGAATTAACACCAAAGGTTAGAGGTTTGTTGATAAGGTAATCTCATGGTGAGAACCTTCTCAATGTAGAACAGACCTGGGAGGGAGTTAATTATCTGTGGCTGGATATGTTAAAAAGGGACCTAGGGAAGACCCAATGGAGATGTTTTAAAGGTTTTTTAAGATATGGCAGAGGTTTAAGACAGATCAGTATTACAAATTGTAGCTTTGGAATCCGTTTTTCATAAAAATTTAACAACAACAGAGCTCCCAGCAAAGCCATCCTTTCTCTTGCCTCTCCCCACCCCACCAGGTTGGGTGCTGATTGACCGGAGCGGCCGCCATTTTGGTACAATCCTCAACTACCTGCGGGATGGGTCCGTGCCACTGCCTGAGAGTACCAGAGAACTGGGGGAGCTGCTAGGGGAAGCCCGCTACTACCTGGTACAGGGCCTGATTGAAGACTGCCAGCTGGCACTACAGGTGAGGGTCCCTCCCCCACCTCCTGAGTCCCCTGTGCTGATGTCCCTGGGAGAGCTGCCTAAGCAGTTAGATATTAGGACATAAAAGAAAGAAATATTGGGTGCTGCCATGAGAGGCAGCCTCTGATCTGGCTGTCACTAGCCACAACCCCAGAGACTGTGGGTACTGCCTCCCTGCCACCTCAGGAAGGGCCCCCCTCATCACCTCATGCTAAGATAAATGACTGTTCTCTGTGCTTTTTGCTCTTCCTACCCAGCCAGTCATTACCACCTGGTAAATTAAACACAGTCCTAATCTGTTCTCTCCCTTGCTCAATAATCTTAAATAATTCCATTGTGCCACCAGGAAAAAAAAATCTACATTTAAGTTGGAACATAGTGATCTCTGTGATCTGGTCCTATCTGGGGAGGCAACATCCACCCAACCCCACCCTCAGGGATTAAAAAAAAATTTTTTTTAAAGCAGTGAAATCGTAGAAGTAGTGTGGTTCTAGAGTATGGGCTTGTCTTCTGTGCATCGCTTAGGGTTTTGAGGAGAAGAGCTTGAAATCCACAGCCAGGACATACGGGTTAAGTGTCACCTTGGCCACAGCTGACTTAAGTGACCTTGAGTGAGTCTATTCCTGCCTCTAGCATACTGTCCTCACATTCCACAAGACAGGGAAATAAGAAAAATATGTACAGTGTGGTTAGTTTTACATAAAGCCTTTTATTCTGTTCTGTCTTTACAATGTTAAAAATATCCTGTCTTTTATGATATAATATTAATAGGAGATTATAGGGATTTCTTTTTTGCTGCCCTTTGTATATGAAAACTGGCAACTATGAACAACTTTCTGTTATCTTGGGAAATACTGGTTCTTGAACTTCAGAAGTATAGAATTCCTTTGGACAATACCCATGTTTTTCAAACTTTGTGACTGCATAGAAAAAAATGCCTTTTATACTTATTTATAACTGAAATGAGAGTTTTATAAAATGTTACTTGTAGTGAAATGTGCTCTGATATATTGTTTTCTTTCTTTTTTTAATGCTGTTTGAGACTCATTGAATTTATCTTGTGACCCATTAATGGATAACCATTTGCAGTTGAAAAATGTTGAGCTAGATCATCTTGGAAGTGCATTCCTTCTCTGTAGTTTCACATTTATCTAATGTTATCTCACATCGACTCTGATTCTGCTATCTGCTTTTATGTTGATCGTGTACTCATGTTTGACTTAAAAAGAAACATGAGGGAAGTTGAAGATGCATCCAAGGTGCAAGACCCAGTAAGCAGCAGAGCTCAAATTGAACCCCAGGTTATTGGACTCCCAAATGCAATGCTTTTTCTTTTATGCTCCAGCTGCATCCTTTCCTGGTTTCTCTGAGGCCTTTCCCATCCCTACCCAACTCAGAGTTTGCTTGTTCGTTTGGAGGTTTTTAAGATTCAGGTACAGAGCACTGAGTTCATCATACTCCTCAGTGCGTGGCAGTTAATCATCACTGGTCTAAGCAAGTATTTTCTCTCTTTATGTTTTTTTCCTTCATTCCTAATCCCCTGCCCACTTCCTTTACCCCATGAGTACCCCTCCATTTCTGATGTTTTGACACATATGCTTTGATTATGTACCCTTGAAAAGCTAAAGCATTATTTTGTATACATATGTGTTTCAAATTTCCATAAATGGCATTGAGCTATGGACTGTGTGTTCTGTTTCTTAATTCAACACTTTCTTCATGGTCTGTTCAGCTGCTGTGTGTACATTTAGTTCTTTGCCTCTAACTGCTGCACAGGAATCTATGGTGTGCATTCATCGTATTTTATTTATACATTCTCCTGAGGTTGGAGACTTAGATTGCATCCCACTTTCTGCTCCCATAAATGGTGTCACTGTGAGCGTCCTTGTATATGTGCTCTTATGGGTCCTGGGCCAGGGTTTCTCAAGTTATAGCTGGGAGTGGAATTGCTGGGTCACAGGACACACACAATTTTCAGCAAGTGCCATCAGATTATTCATCTGGATGGCTATAGCACTTTATACTATTTATCAGCAGTGCATAAGGATCCCCTTTCTGCATATCCACAACAAATATCACATGGCATTCTCCAATGTTCTAATTTTGCCAATCTGATTGGTATAGAATGATCTCATTTTAGTTTGCATGCCTCCAATTACTAATGAGATTGGCATCTTTTCATACACTCACTAGCTTTTCTGTAGTTTTTCTAGTTTCCCCTTCTGTGAATTGCCTATGCATGTTCTTTACCAAATTTTTTACTGCATTGCCTGTCTCTTTCTTGTTGCTTTGCATATTGTTGCTTGTTTTATTTTAGTTCCTAGAGAGAATTAAGCCCTATTACCCTAAGGCATGTATTGTACATAATAATTTACTCTTCTCCTATGCACCTAGAATGGTACTATTTACCTATCATCCTCAGGGGAGTTGAGAATATAGTTACTTAAATTATTTGCTGAATTTTGAGATTCAGGTGAGGAATCCCAGTTGAGAAAACCTGTTTCAGGTAATAATTTCTAGTCAGTGTTAGTTGTTGCCAATACTTTCTCTTAGAAAGTCACCTGTCTGTGGCATCTGTTGTTAAATAGAAATTCTTGATTTCTTAAAAATATAAACATTTATTATTTTAAAGCAGTATACATGTATCATATGAATTTAGAAAACAGGTATAATCAAAAAAACACCAACTATCCTTCCAGGTCTTTTCATGTGTGTGTGTTTTCCAAACTATGATCCTACTGTATGTGCTGTTTTGTAATTTCTTTTGTTTGTTAATAATTGCTATCTTCCATGTCAATGAAACTTTATCTTATCTGACATCCAGGGCATATACAGATTTCTCTATTTGTTCTAGAATAGTCTTTTATAGCTGGTTCACCTAAACCAGGACCCAATCTAGATCCTTGCACTATGTCTGGTTATTACATTTCTTAAGTGTCTTCCAACACAAAACTGTCCCTTTTTTCTCATGATGCTGACATGTTAAGGAGACCACCAGTTGTCCTGCACAATGACCCACTTTCCAGATTTGCCTGGTTGTTTACCTGTGGTATCATTTGGTTTGTTACCCTCCAAATGGGGTTTCTGTAAATTAGATGGTAGACTTAAAGACTGGATAATAAACATTTTGGTTAGGATACATTTTACATCATTTTATATGCTTCATTTTATGTTATATGAAGAGAGACATAATTTTGCTAATATGACCCATCATGAGTGATGCTCTGAATTGGCCCCAGGATTCAGGTGATGGTGGTTTAATCCCTCCATTGCAGTTCCATTTCCTTGTTGCCAGATATAAAGTCATTTGTGTGATGTTATTTAGGCACTATGTGAATGGCAGTTACCAATCAACCACACAACAATTGATAAACCTTACCTAATCAATAATTTCATTAGGGTTGTAGAATAAATACAATTCTGTCATTCCTTCAACATTACATGGGATTATTTTTAAAGACACACTTCTCATTGTCAACTGGGGAAATTCTTGATTGTCATGTAGTCAAGGCCCCCCACCCCTTTTTTTTTCGTAATGGTGTATGCTTTTAGGGTCTTGTTTAAGAATCTTTTTCCATTCTACATTTTTTATCAGCTTTACAGTTTTATCTTTCATTTATGGTTCTCTCCACCTAAATGGAATTCACTGTTGTAAATGTTGAATTATGAAGGGATTTTTGTCCTCCTTGAGTGAGCTAGTTTTCTGTGCCATCTACTCCACTGTCTGTGGTAGCCAGTGTCTAAGTTGGCCACCAGCAATTTTGCCTTCTGCTTATTTGGGCTCTTGTTTAGTCCCCACCCACAGTGAATAGGGCTGACCTATGTAACCAATAGGATATTGCAGAAACGATAGTGTGTGACTTCTAAAGCTAGGTCATTACAGTTTCTATCTTCCTCTCTCGGATCCCTCACTCTGGGGAAAGCCAGCTGTGATGTGAGAACACTCAAGCAGCCCAAGGGAGAGTCTGCTTGGTGAGGAACTGAAGCCTCTTGCCAGGGGCCAGCACAAACTTCCAGCCATGTGGGTGAAGTATCTCAGAAGTGAATCCTCTAGGTCCAATCAAGCTATGGCCAACATCTGGACTCCAACTTTATGAGAGACCCTGGGTCAGGGCCACCTAGCTGTGCCAATCTCAAGTTTCCAACCCACAGAAACTATGTGAGATAATATTTGTTGTTGTTTTAAGCTAGTAAGTTTGTAGTAATTTGCCACCCAGCAATAGATAATAGATTTTGGTATCTGGAGTTGGGTTCTGCCCAAACAAAACCAGAATGTGGAAGTGGGCAGAAGCTGAAACGACTTTTAAGGATAGTGTTAGGTAAAAGTCTGAAGCACTTTAAAGAGTCTGTTCATAGAAGTCTGATGACCTTTGAGAAGGCTGCAGTGAGGAAAATGTTACCGGAAACTGGTGTAAAAGGGATCCTTGTTATGTAGTGACAGAAGTTTTGCTATACTCGTTCTGTGGTGATGTAGGAAATAGAAATTGCACCTAATGAACTGAATGATCCAGCTGAAGAGATTTCCAGACAGAATGTTGAAGGTGCCACCAGGTTTCTTGTTTATTATGGTAAATAGAAGAGGAGAGAAAGGCTAGAGAAAAAAGTTGAACAAAAAGGAGCTATGAGTTACTGGGTTTGAAAATTCCCAGCCTTTCTGGATAACAGGATGATCCAGTCAGAGACTAAGTACTGGGCATTCTCAGGAAAACATGTAAAGATGAAGCTGAGGGTGTGATCGTAAAATCTTTAGTTAAGACCTCAGAAATATCTAAGAAGATGACTCCGAGAACCATTCATCAAATAATAGCACTTCCAAGAAGCTTAAGGGTGTCCCTCAGCAGTCTCAGCACAAGCCCAAGTAGAGAAGAGCTTACCTCACACAAAAGATTTGTGGGTATGGCTTTTCTCTAATGAAGTGAACCCCAAGATTCACAAGACACATTAAGTTTTTAGGAGCATTACATTGGCAGAAATACTGCCAGCTTGGGCTGAAAAGGACAGAGAGGGGAAGAGGGCTTTGGAACACCAAAGGTCTACAGGCAGGAAGGAGGCTAAGGAAGCTAAGTTGCTGCAAGCTTGGACTGTCTTTCATGGAAAAGGAAGGATGACTCAGAGCAGAGCCAAGTGCCACAGAGAATCATTCTTGGACAAGAGTCCATGAGAGAGCTTCCAACATTTGTCAACTGGATTACAGAATTTCTACGAAGCAGTGATTTCCGTGTGCCTCCTGTTCCCTGGCCCCCTTTTGAGCATGCCTGCCCTAGTGGTTATCCTAATGCCTCTTCCACAATTGCATATTGGATATATGGAAGAGATAACTTGTCTCTTTAGTTCACAGGTCTTCAGATCAAGAGGAAATGTACTTAAGGAGCAGTAGTTAAGGAATTAAAGCCAAGGAGCTTCATCTCCACCTGGACCTGATTTAGATGACAAGATTCTGTACTTCAGGATGATGCTGTAATAGGATGAGACTGGGGGATCTTAGAGGGGGTGCGTATATTTTGCATATGCGAGGGATTTGAATCAATGAGGGCCAGAAGGTAGACTGTGGAACTAGCCTTCAAGGCAGTCCCCAGTGATTGTTGTTCCCTAGTAGTATTCCCTTTTGTAGTTTTCCTACCACACTAAATGGCTAAAATTCGATCATAAAACACATTGAGGCCTCCACCTTGCTCTTGTATCATTTGTTGTGGAAAAACCAGCTGCCATATTATAAGGACACTCAAGCAACCCCATAGAGAGGTCCAAATGACAGGAATTAGATACTTGAAATTTCCAGCCATGTGAGCAGCCTTCTCAGAAACAAATCCTCCAGACCAAGCCATGACTTCAGATCCCTGCAGCCCTGGCTGTCTTAACTACAACCGCATGATAGACTCCATGTCAAAACCCCCCAGCTAAGCCACTCCTGAATTCCTGACCCACAGAAGCTGAGATAATACTTATTATTGATTTAAGCCTCAAAGTTTTGGGACAGTTTATCACACAGCAAACCAATACATGCTCTATACTTCCCCTGTTTGTAGTGTCCTGTTTATAGATACCAGTTCTCATATATACACCAGTCTGTTTCCAAGGTCTCTTTTGTGTTCCATTGTTTTGTTTGTTTGTTTGTTTCTGTACCAAAACCATACTGTATTAATGGCTTTGTAGGATATCTTAATATCTGGTAAGATAGGCTCTCCTCTTGGCTCTTTTTAAAAATTGACCTAAGTATAGTAGTCTTTTCCTCTCCCATAATAATTTTAGAAAAATTACAAGTTTCTCAAAAAGAATATGGAATTTTTGGTTAAGAGAAAATCTGCTGGTTGAGAAAGGTAAAAGGGGTTTTGGCATAAACATCCTAGAGGACAGAGAAGAGGAAATAAACCTCTGTCTGGTTCTGATTCTGCCTGTAGCCTCATCCCACCAGTTAGGGTCATTTATTCAACAGATACTTACTGAGCATCTGCTGTATAATAGGTACTTACTCCCTAGGTGAGAAAAGACAGACCATAAGCAAATATACAGAAAAAAGGAGAAAATGTGAGGAACTAAGTGCCATAAAGGAAGTGAACTGATAATGTGAAAAGGAAGAAGTAGAGGAGGCTGCTTTAGCCAGGGAGCCTAGGGAGGAAGATCGGTACTCTGAGGGGCACTGAGTTGAGATCTGAATAGTATGAAGGGGCCAGCCTTGCACACAACTGACTGTAGATCATTTCAGGCAGTGGGAAAGCAAAGAACTAAGGTGGGCACAAATTGGATGTGCAAAGAAACAGGCCATTGGTGGGGCCTAAGCCCAGCAGGCAGGAGAGGTAAGGATGAGATCAGAGAGTTCAAATCCTGCAGAGCCTTGTGGACCCCTAAGGAGTCTGAATTTTTTTCCCCAAAGCAACAAGCAGTTTTTGAAGGCTTTTAAGTGGGGGAGTGAGTGACCTTTGGTTGTGCTGTTAACCACCTTCCCCTTCTTCTCCAGCAAAAAAGGGAGAACCTGTCCCCGCTGTGCCTCATCCCCATGGTGACATCTCCCCAGGAGGAGCAGCAGCTCCTAGCCAGCACCTCCAAGGTGAGGCCCCTGAGCCCTGCAGGGTGGAGGCTGGGGGCCTCTCCATGCAGCTTGACTCCCACCCTTGTTCACCCTCTCTCCCCCAACAGCCCGTGGTGAAGCTCTTGCACAACCGCAGTAACAACAAGTACTCCTATACCAGGTGACCATCATGGGGACGGGAGGTGCCCTGGGTGGAATCCTGGGCTCAGCCAGCCCTGCTTCTGGCCTATGGGGAGGGCTGTGGCCATAAAGAGAGACGAAAAAAATGCCTGGCTGGATGTCAACTCCAGCTCTGCCATTTACCCACTGGGTATTTCAGACAGGTCATTTTTACTTCTGAGCTTCAACTTTATCATCAGTAAACTGGGTTCCAAGGTGAGGATTAGATGATAATGCCTAGCATTTCCTAAATGCTTTTTTTTTTTTTTATAACGGGTATTGCTCCAAGTGCTTTACATATATTAACTCACATAATCCTCACAGTTGTTTGAGGTACATAACTGTACGGTCTCCATTTTACAGATGGGGAAATTGAAACACTGAGAGGTGAAATAACTTGCCTAGTGTCACTCAGTTAAAAAATGATAGAGTAGGATGCTAGGTGAGGCAGCCTGGCTCCAGAGCCTGCTGGAAATGTTTACTGGGATATGCTCAACAAGTGCTACTTCCTTCTGAGGCCTGCTTAGCCTGGCCTCAGGGGTGGGGGAAACACCCTGCTCAGCACCAAACCCTTGGGCAGGACCAGAGTGCCAGGTGCGTAGGCCCCTGTGCTGGGAGAAAAGAGGGAGGGAAGCCAGTTGTGCTGAGGCCTTCTGGCCCCTGTTTCTCAGCACTTCAGATGACAACCTACTTAAGAACATCGAGCTGTTTGACAAACTAGCCCTGCGCTTCCACGGGCGGCTGCTCTTCCTCAAGGATGTCCTGGGGGACGAGATCTGCTGCTGGTCTTTCTATGGGCAGGGCCGCAAAATCGCCGAGGTGTGCTGCACCTCCATTGTCTATGCCACGGAGAAGAAGCAGACCAAGGTCAGAAGGGGCTGTTGGGGGTGGGCAGAATAAGGAATTTGGACAAAGGCAACTCCAGATCAGGCAGGGGAAAATCCATCTCTGGGAGTCAAGAGCTGTATAACCTTACTTCAGTGGGTCTCCATTTCTCTACGTGTGAAATGATGGTATTGGATTAAGGTGGGATTGTTAGGCTAGGCAGTTGGGTCTCAAGGCTGTCTTGCAATAGTATGCAGGTTTGGGAGTGTGTATGTATTTTTCTGTGTGGAAGGATGAGTGTTAAATTTCAGAGAAGGGTCCATGAAAACCTTAAAACCACAGGATTCTAAAACACACAAGTCTCTTAGAATACATTGAGTCTGTGGGTCCTGAATCATTAACATGGCAGTCATCAGCAGATACTTCCTGAGCACCTACTCTGTGCTGAGCACTGCAGCAGACATGCAATACAGGTGAATGAAATGTGAGTAAAGTACAAGCCCTGCATCACGTCATCTGGCCCCTGTTGATCTTACCAGCCTGGTCCCTTTTGACTTGAAGTGAGAATGTGCCTCAGATACACCAGAGATCTTGCAAGTCTCTAAGCACCCAGTGCTATTTCATACCTCCCTACCTTTGCACACTATTCCCACTTCTTGAAATTATTTGTCCTCATCCCTGTCTGCCTAAGAAACTTGTTTAATCTTTAAGACCAATCATCACTTTCTTTGGGATACCTTCACTCATGAACTTTCAACCCAACAACCCCAAAGTTGGTCATACCCACTTCTTAGCTAAACACAGTGTTTATTATAGTCTGCCGAGTGGTGGAGGTGGGAAGTGTTTACTTCTGCAGTAAGGTATGAGCCTCTTGAGAGTAAGGCTGTATGTTTTCCTAGCTCTCTAGCACTAGGCAGGCATTTATCACAAAATGGAAGCTAAGCATTTGTTGAGTGCATTAGTGAGTGAGTGAAGGATCCAGTTTCCAAGAAGTATTGTCATATTTAGGAAGACAGGAAGATAAACCAATAATTAGAATGCAGCTTGTGAAGACCTATGTTATATTCCTTCAAGTGACTTCCTCCTTTATTCCTTTCTACTCCCTTCACTCTGCCTCCTTGCTGCTGATCTGCAGATAATATACCAAGTGCACTTCTGCCCCGGAGCTCTTACACTTGCTGTTGCCTCTTCCCAGACTGCTCTTTCTTCAGTTATCCACCTGGCTTCCTTCCTTCCTCTCCTTGGCCTTTGGGCAAATATCACCTCACTGAGGCCTTCTCTAAATTCCCATTTTAAAGTTAAAACATTCCTGACCATGACCATTCCCACTCCCTTTTCCTGCTATATTTTTCATAACATTTATCATCCTGACAGTTTATATTTTATTTCATGTATGTCTGTGTCCTCCGCCTAGAATGTAAATTTCCTGTGGCAGAAACTTTGTTCACCACTGTATTCCCAATGCCTAAAACAACACCTGGTATAGTACAGTCACTCAGTAAATATTTGTTGAATGAAAGAATATGCCAAGAAGCTTGGCAGCTAAGGAAAGAAAGCACATAACTCTGCCTGACTTCAGAGATGGACCTTGAAATGTCAGTGTGACTTTGCTGCATAAAGAAGGTGTGATTGCAAAGGCTAGGAGGTTTGCTGGTGCAGGAGCAGCTGGGGAGGGGGTGGCTGTATAACTGGACCAGAGGGTAGGAGCTGGGAGTTGCTGGCCTTTTGCAGGTGGAATTTCCAGAAGCCCGGATCTTTGAGGAGACCCTGAACATCCTGATCTATGAGACTCCCAGGGGTCCAGACCCAGCCCTCCTGGAGGCCACAGGGGGTGCAGCTGGAGGTGGTGGGGCAGGCCGAGGGGAGGATGAGGAGAACCGAGAGCACCGTGTCCGCAGGATCCATGTCAGGCGTCACATCACCCACGACGAGCGTCCTCATGGCCAACAGATTGTCTTCAAGGACTGACCTTTGACCTTTCTCCCTGTTTTCTTCCTGCCACTGAGACTCAGTCCCTCTCTCTTTTCCTCCCCTTCCCAGACCTGTGCCCCAGCTTTGCTGGCCAAGTTGTGGGTCTTCCTTCTGTCCCTTCATCACATGGTACAGTTCATTTTTGCCCTTTTCCATTCATTCATTGCTCACAACACAGTACATTCCAGCCCCTCCCCTCAGTCGGTGCCCTTTTGAAGGTCTACATTTGTTCCCTCATCCCCATCTTCATCCTATCTTCCCTCTCCAGCTGGTTTAGAGTGATTTAGAATTCCTTTTCTCTTTTTTTAGTACATGGTACATGCCAAAGTGTCAAGCCAGCCCTTAATAATACCTACCACATCTGAGCCACCTCCCCACCATCCTGCAGGATAGTTTGCCTCCCTCCTCCTTCCCCCACCATTCTCCCTACCTCCTTAACTTTGTATTAGGCTGGCCTGAGCCTCCACCAACTCAGCTGTCTTCTCAATCTGTGTCATATTATTTATTATTTTAATTTTCTATTAAATTATTGGAATAAAATTGAGTTGAGGGTCTGGTGCTGGCTTCTGGGGAGGGGAGGGCCAGAGAGATGGCTGTGTTAAAGGAGGTGCCTGATGAGTTGGTTGGGAGGGAACATGAGCCCATCGCCCAAACCTTTCCCTGGGGCTGGTAGCTGGAAGAAAGTAGTCAGGAGTTAGGAGAGTATTTAAAATCTGTATTTAGTGTTGGCTGGCCAATTCCCACCCCTCAGCCCACCCAACCCTCTGCAGTGGATAGGAGGTCCTCGCTGTCACTCAAGCCATCCCTGAGTGCAGCATCTCTCCAGCCCAGACGTCTGAAGAGAACACCTTCCTTCAAGGGTCTGGTGCGAAGACATAGTCAAGGGCCTGGCGCTCAGCCCCAGCCACATTAGGGTGCCAAAGATCCACAATGAAGACCACTCGAGGCCCATCTTCAGGGGAGCCTTAGGGCACATGGGGATGGAGACAGCTGACATTAAGTACTTACATGCCAGAGCACTCACCAAATACTCAAAGGCAAACATTTGTAAATAAGTGCCAGGCACTGTTCTAACCCCTTATATGTATTACTCAACATCAGAATACCCTTGGAGGTAGTACACAATTATTCCCATTTCATGCAAAGTAACTGAGGTGCAGAGGTTAAGTAACTTGATCAAGGTCACATAGCTGGTAAGTGCCAGAGGTAGGACAAGAAGTTGGGTGGTCCAGGCCCCCAGGGTCTTGTGCTGTTAACCATTTTGCTGTGTACTTACAGTAATTATTTCATCCTTGCAGTCACCTGATAAAGAAGGGGCTTGCCCCATTTCACAGGTGATTTGAGAATTGTAGGACTTGTTCAAGGTCATACAACTGGAAAATGGTGGTGCTAGGTCAGGAAGCCAGTTGGCCGTTTCTTCAGCCTCTAGTCTATGCCCCTTCACTCCAGTCCCACATCCCTCCTAGCAGAATGGGAGCCCCATTACCATTATGAGTCACTGTGTGCAGGAAGGAGTCATCCACCAGTAGACAGTGTCCCTCAGCCCAACACTGAGGCTCACCTCCGACCACCAGCTCACAGCCAGGAGGGATCTTCAGGCCTATAGAAAGAGACCCAGGCATCCAACACCCCTGCCTCCATCAAAGAGGCCCACCCTATTCAGTCAAGAAGATCTGAGGGTCTTAAATACTAGGTTCTATGGTGGTCCCTCCTAGCTTTCTGCAGGGTGACCCAAGTATAACTACAGTACCAAATGAAAGAAGTGCTAGGAGATGGGAAGTGTAGTGCAAAGCACAGTATATTCTGTTCTCAGAGAAAAGAGAAGGCTTTCTGGAGGAAGTAGCATCTCTTAGGCTTCTGACAATTTAACTCAAGAACCTACTATGTGCTAGGTCTCTCTCCCCACAAGGTATAAAAGAAATGGTTCCCTCCTGGCCCAAGGACCACCCATTGGAGTGCTGTGAGAAAACTGAGCAGTCAACTTAAATGATGGGGAATAGAAAGACATCCCAGAGGAGGTGTGGCTCTTGAAAGTGTGATTCCTAAAGGGTGAGTAGGAGTTTCCCAGGACGTGATAAGGGGGAAAGACATTCTAGGTTAAAAGGATAGCATATGAGTATGGCATCTGCCAGGGTCAGCCAGAAGGCTTCCATGATTTAGAGCATGGAGGGAGGGAAAGAGGAGAGGAAGGATCTGGACTTGATCCTGAGGCCAGTGTGAAGTAGAGGGCACATCCAACTGGTAGCACAGAAAAGGTAAAATAAAGTCATGGCATTAAATAATCAAAATTGCTTTCTTCTCTATTTTCTTTCAATCTTTAAAACATCAAAAAGAAAATCTCAGTTTGGCACTACCATAACTTTAACATCCCAGTAACACTGCTGCTCCCTTCTAAAGGAAGAGAGTATAGGCTTCAGGCTTGGAGAGACTGGAGTATTTAGCTAGAATTTTTAAAGCTTTCTTTTTTTAAGTTTAAATTTGTTTTAATGAGTATTTTCTGTTTAGGGTAAATAATACTGGTTAGCATTGTTCTAAAAAGATTCCTCTTAAGTAAAACAAAATGTGGGGTGAGTCAGTATCAAGAAACAGTACAGGTGGTAAATGACTATGGCAAAGCTCATGAAGATGGTTTGCAAATAAGTGAAGTTAAGGAAATGCAGCTGTGGGCAAGGGAGTCATGGAAGATTTCTGAGAAGAGGAGCATGATCAGAACCACAGAGGAGAAAGCTCAGGTAGCAGAGAAGGGAGTCTTGGGGGGGAATCGTGGAGGCAAGGAGGTTGGTTGTAGGCTGCATCTACTTACCCAGATGGCATCTGACCCGGGCATTTGTGGGCCCACAGCGGCCCTCAAGCTGGGCCCCAGGCAGTAGGACAGAAAAGCCAGCATTGCCGAAAGCGTTGGCACTCATAAAGCTCCGCAGCGCCCTTAAGGCCCGGTAGGTTCCCGGGCACCGGCGGCAGTTAATGGGTTGGCGCTGGCCTGCTTGGTACAGCAGAAGCTGGTAGCACCCAGGGGCCAGAGGTGGGGACCAGCCCGGAGGCAGAGGGGTAGTTCCTGAGAAGTCCCAGCTTACAGCCCCAAAGTCCCTCAAAATGGCAGGGAAGCTGCTCTCCAGGAGCTCCACATCATGCCACTGGGCATCCCGAGGCACAAAGGGGGCTGAAGGTAAGTCTGGCAGAAAGAGCAGGCCTGGGCGCTGAATGCCCAGGACCCCTGGCCCTCTCCCAGGGCTTGGGCCACCCTGTGCTGCCCGCCTCACCCTACCCATTCCTGCCCAGGAGTAGCGCTGGGCATAGGCTCGAAGGCGACTACTCACTAGACCTTCTGTCCCAGGTCCTTCCCCAGGCTCCCTAGAGCTCCCTGGGCTTGGCCTGCCAGCCTTAGAACATCCCCCAGGCCCACTACTTACACCCACAGCTGAACTCCCACCCCCCAGGACTTGCATGTCCTGAGAACCCAGGCGGTAACAGTACCAGAGGAAAAGGGAAGTGAGGGCTCCCAGGAGCAGGGTGAGGGCTGAGGAGGCCAGGGGCAATGGCCAGGTGAGCATGATGGGCAGGGAGGCCCTGGCCAAGAGACCTGAGGCATCTTCTCTACCCCAGTTCCCATGCCCCCCCAATTCTCCACCAGCTCCCTCCATGCCTGCTCCCTGGTTACCCCCTGGGCTGTTTCCCTTCCACATTCCCACTGTTATTTTTTCTCCTCAGGAGGTCTCTCTCCACCTGGGTCTTCCTCTTTCTCGCCTCCTTCAGGTACCTCTAACCCTCCTTCCCTTTCTTTCCCTCTCCTCTCTCCCTCTTACACCCCTCCTCCTCTCTCCTTTCTCCTTCCGGCAGTTTGCTCTTTCTCCTCTGCCTCTTCTTTACCCACCCTGTCTCCCCCTCTCTTCTTTTCTCCCCCCTTCACCCCTTCACTGTAGCTTTCCCGGCTGCAGTTCCTACCCTACCTGGACCCGAAGCCCCAGGAACCCGCAACCAGTCCTCCTTCGCAAGGGCTTCTCCCTCCTTCCTCCCCCCTTTCCTTCCTGCCCTCGCTTCTCACTCGACCCGACCTGCAGGTCCACTCTCCATTTCTCTCTCGCTTCTGCCTTGGCTCCCACTCACCCTGACGTCACCCCTCCCCACAGTCCTCTCAGTTTAGCTACCCCGCCCCCACCCAGTGGTCGCCGCAACTGCGCAGTGTGGGTGGGGGGTGTCTCCGGATTTGCCTTTTCATTCCCCAACCGCGGGCCCCGGCCTCTAAGTGCCCCGCAATGCGAAAAGAAGGGGCGGGGGCTGAGGGGGCGTGGTAACGCAAGGGAAGTGGCAATCGCGAGGACTGTTAACTTGGCGGGTGCTGGCGGACAGCGGACCCTTACGCTGCGGTCTGTGGCCTGTGGGTTGGCCGGTCGATCCTCGACCAGTGGGCCTGTGACCCCCTCCTCCGTCTACACCAGAGCCAGCCCGCGGCCGGAGTCTGACAGTGAAGGCGGCTTCAGGCAATCGTCCTCGGCTCCAGGGGCCGGGCCAGCTCAGACTCGGCCGAGAAGAGCTGTCCGTTCGTTAGTGGTGCTGAAAAGAGCCCTCCAGAGGTGTTAGAGGAGGCCAGGAGACAAATAATCAAAGTTGAAGCTATCTGACAGTTGGCTGGGATCATGTTGTATGTAAGAGGAGGTCTCCCCTCCCCAGATCGCGGTCCGTCACCCCTTAGACTTCTCATAAACGTAGCAACTTGCCATTTTCCTGGAGGAGCAGAAAGCTCATTCCACATGAACTTCTGTTAAGGAGAAAGGAAAAGCCCATTAGGGATCTGAATCCGGGCAGGGGGCATATTTGGGGTGGACAGGAGCGAACCCAGCTGTGCTGATCCTCTGTACAATGGGAAAAGGAGATTCAGATTCCAGATGTGCCGTAATGGCTGGGGGAGGTGGTGTATTTTTACTGCTGGGACCAGAGTTTCCTTTGCCTCCCTAGGGGCCGCGGGAGTGAGGATTAAGATGCTAACTCATTTGGTTCCTCCTTCCTCCATCTGCACTTCCTCCTCCTCCCTCCCCCACCCTCCGCCCCCAGATAAATCCCAGGCCCCTCCCTTCGCCCGTCCCCAGGATCTGACGTGAGCTCGACACCTTTCTCAGCTTCTGCCTCCCGCAGCTCCAGTACCCAAGCTTCGACTCTCCAGGTTCCGCAACCCTTTCCCCAACTCGCCAAGCCCCCCCACCCCACTAGGGCACTGTAGGGATCCTCCCGATCTTCAACCCCACCTCAGGCCACCGTAAGCTGTTTGGCCTCTCTCCCCCATTCTCCCGGTTTGAGATCCAGCCAGCTGTGTGGACCCAAGTGTCCCAGCAAAGGGTAACCCAGGCAACCGGCCCCTTCGGCCTTCTCGGCCCCACCCCCTGCAGCCGGAGCCGCGCCCCCTCTCTCACAGACCCGAGAGCAGAGGACAGAGAAGATTGGGCAGAGAGGGGTGTTCTCCAAGCCACCCCCAGCCCATTCTGCCCCTCCATCCCAAGGGGCAGAGAAATTGTCTTCTTTGCTAACTGCTAACAGGAAAAATAAAATTAAAGGGAAAGATAAAAGGAGACGGAGGAAAAGTGACAGCTAGATTATTTAGGAGCAGGGGAGAGAAATCGGTGTGAGTCGCCATGGGGACTTTCAGGGCCCAGAACCCGCTGCCTCCCCAGCTGCTGTTCCTAATTCTGCTGAGCTGTCCCTGGATTCAGGGTAAGGACATGGGAGTGTGGGGGTGGGCACCGGGAAGGCCTCCGTTGGGTTCCTCTACCCTCTTTTTTCCGAACATCCTGGGCCTTCTGAGCTGCTGGGGGAGGGGAGGGGCAGAGCTGAAGGGGAAGGGCCAAGCCAAGGCTTTCCAGATTGTACCTGGAGCCCCTACCTCCCAGTATTGAGGAGGTGGGGAAATAAATGAGGGGCGTTTTTAGCAGCTTCTCAGGGGTTAAATATCTGAAGAAGAAGAAGAGGAGCTGGGGAAGTTAGGGGAATGTCTGCGGAGGTGGCAGCTCACAGGGTACCTGGGTGGGAGATGGAGGTGCTGGGAGAGTAGCCAGGCACTGCACACACAAATGTTCTTGGATGTGTGGACAAAGGCAGATGAACAGATACAGTGCTCAGAGACCAGATATTTGCCCCCCTACTCTGACCCCCTGCCAGGCTTCAGGGAAGGGGGCAGAGACTGCAGAGGAGAGGGAGGAAGGAAGGGAGGGAGCTTGAGAGAAAGAGAGAGAGAGAGAGAGAGAGAGAGAGAGAGAGAGAGAGAGAGAGAGAGAGAGAGAGAACGAGAGAACCACACTGCAGAGAAAGAAACCCAGAGAGGAGCTGGGCACTGCAGAGCACTGGTTGGGAGGTGCTACCAGATCCTCCCCAGAGCAAGAGAGAGAGAGAGAGAGAGAGAGAGAGAGAGAGAGAGAGAGAGAGAGAGAGAACGAACGAGAGAACCACACTGCAGAGAAAGAAACCCAGAGAGGAGCTGGGCACTGCAGAGCACTGGTTGGGAGGTGCTACCAGATCCTCCCCAGAGCCCCAGGGTTGGGCTAGAGCACCATCAAGGAGAAAATGAAGGCACCACAGTGGGACCTCTCCCACCCTGCTGGCACTGTCCAGGGTTCATAAGAGCCAAGGTGCTCACAGAAGGCCCACACAACCTGGGGGAAGTGGGGGAGAGGAAGGTGTAGGAGTGTGAGGGGCGTCTGGGGGCTCCTCCTCCAATCTTGGCTCTCAGCCCAGCCTGAGATCCTCTGAGCTCCTGCAGGCCCAGCTGACTGAGGAGAGAGGAAGAGCTCTGGAAAAAATCTTCCTGGGGAAGGAAGGGGTGGGGGGCAGTGAAAGGGCTCACACAACTTCATCTCCTAGGTCTGGCCCTGAAGGAGGAGGAGGCACTGCTGGAGCCTGGAAGTGAGACCCCCACGGTAGCCTCCGAGGCCTTGGCTGAGCTGCTCCATGGGGCCCTGCTGAGGAGGGGCCCAGAGATGGGCTACCTGCCGGGTGAGGCTTCCAGAGTGACAGGAGTGACAGAGGCAGAGGGAGGGACATTAGCTCTGGGAGTGGGGAGCCAGGCCAGTGAAATTCAGAGGAAGACAGAGAGAGATGGTTAGAGAGAGTCAAAACTGGGTGAGACAGTCAGAGAAACAGGGAAATTGAGACAGAATGATCAAGGAGACAGAGCCAGAAAGAAAGACAGATGGAACTCAGAAAACCAGAATCAGAGAAATAGCAGGAGAGAGACACCAAAAGAGAGAGAAATGCAGAGACCAGTAAATCTCAAATCATAAAATCAGAGAACGATAAGAATACTAAATGGAGATAATGAGTTTGAGAGAGAGTAAAAGAGAAAAAGGTAGCCAGGAGGAGCCAGATCTGAAAGTGGAGGCACAAAGACAGGCTCATGGACATTGGCAGAGTGGAAGGGCCTGGGTAAAGAGGTGGAGCAGGGAAGAGAAGGGGGTGGGGCAGTCTGGCTGTGGAAGCCTTGGAGAAGTGGGAAGTTTTGGTGGAGAAGGGAGAGGTGGGACACCTACACCTTGTGGGGAGGCCCTTGGGGCTCAGTAGGGAATTTCCAGTTTCCTTCAGCCCTGCTCCCTACCCAAGGCCCACCGATTTGCTTCTCCTGTGCCCTGACTTCCCTTGCACTGTCCCAGGATCTGATGCAGACCCCACACTAGCCACCCCTCCAGCCGGCCAGACTCTTGCAGCACCCTCCCTGCCGTGGGCCACTGAGCCAGGGACAGGGCCTCTGACAACAGCCGTAACCCCTAAGGAGGGTAGGGGGGCAGGCCCCACCGCGCCAGAGCTGCTGACCCCGCCCCCGGGAACTACGGTCCCACCCCTTCCCGGCCCCGCCTCCCCAGGCCCACATCTGGCGTCTGAGGGAGGAGAGGAGGAGACCACGACCACTATCATAACCACGACAACTGTCACCACCACAGTGACCAGCCCAGGTGAGGCGATTGAGAAGATGAGGGTACTGTGCAAGAGCACAAATGTGGGAAAGGAGGAGGGTATGGGCGGGAGAGAGGCTGCTGGGAACTTGTGGAGGAGTATGGGTACAGATGGGAGAGGGACTTGTGCTTTATAATGATAAAGTTTGGCATTTATAGACCCTTACTATGTACCAGCACCGTTCTGCATGTTTTCTCCATATTGCAGTTGGAGAAGGGAGTTCTGGGCACTGGTGAGAAAGGCAGCATTGGATAAGGATGGTCAGGGAGCTAGAAACAAGATGGATGAGGACTCCAGGATTGCCTGGCTGGGAGGGCAAGAACACAGGATTCTCTCAACCCCAGCTACTTGTATCTCTTTAGTTCTGTGTAATAACAACATCTCTGAGGGTGAAGGGCATGTGGAGTCTCCAGATTTAGGGAGCATGGCCAGCCACACCCTGGGACTCCTGGACTGCACGTACAGCATCCATGTCTACCCTGGCTACGGCATTGAAATCCAGGTAACTGGACTTAGCATATGACTGTGAAACTTCCAAGCCCTTTCCTCTGTATCCAGGGCTGTGCACAGGTTTGGCCTGGGAGCCAAAGAACCCATTTTCTGACTAAGGCCTGAGGATCTCAAAGACTCTTCTAGAGCTTGACAACTTGGCTGATGTCACTGTGGTGTTTGGGCTGCCATATATAGGGACAAGGAAGGCAAGGGGCAGGGGACTTAGTGGGCCAGACACCCTGACTAATTTGTACTGGTGGGTTTGGGTCTGGCTTCTTTAGGTGCAGAGGCTGAATCTGTCTCAGGAGGAGGAACTCCTGGTGCTGGCTGGTGGGGGATCCCCAAGCCTTGCCCCCCGACTCCTGGCCAACTCCTCCATGCTGGGAGAAGGACAGGTCCTTCGTAGTCCAACCAACCGGCTGCTCCTGCACTTCCAGAGCCCACGGGTCCCAAGGGGCGGTGGCTTCAGGATCCACTATCAGGGTGAGGCATCTGGGCTGCTGGTGGAAGAACAGGAGCCATGCTGGGCAGAGGGGACATCTCCAGGAAACTTCTAAACATGGGGCAATGATGGGGAGATGGACAAGTAATCAGAATGATTATGCTTCAGTGAGATCAGTACCTATTATTCCTATGATGGAGGAAACACAGGCAGAGGGAGCAAATATCAAAGGGACCTAAACTTCTCCTGAGGAATATAGGAACATGTTCTTGGAGGAGGTGATGACTAATCTGAGTCTTTTAGATGACTTAGCTAAAGGAAAGGTGGGAGGGAAAGAAAGGGGAAGGCAGATGTCTAGCTGGATGAAAAGCACACTTCGAGACCCAGCAAGTAGGAAAAAATGTGCCCCCCTTGAGGAATTGAAGTAATTCAATATGGAAGATGGAATTGTCCTAGCTGTGTGACCTGGGATGAGTTCCTTAACCTTTCTGTGCCTCATTATATCTTGTCAAAATTGGTGAACATAATACTTCATGGTACTATTAGGAAGATCAAATAAGTTAATACATACCAAGTGCTTAAAATAGTGTCTGGCACATGGTAAGAGCTCAACAATGTCAGTCATTGCTATTACAGTAAAAGCACAGAAAGTGGTGGGGGAGAAGTAGGCTAAGCGACCAGATTTGTGACCTAGAAAGATCCTGCTGACTTCTAGGGGCAAAGAAGGGGGGATGTACCCATGCTCAACTGCATCCATGAGCATCCACCCACAGACAGCCTGCACACGTGTACATCCATACCCACCTGTGTGCACAGTGACCTTCCCACAGCACCATGTTCTAGCATACATGTGTGCATGAGGCAAGGGACCCAGCCCACAGACCCATCCCAGACACTGCTGCCATCTCCAAAGTCCCTTCCTATTCTCCTTGGAAACAGAGAGGAAACTGTGTTTTGGGCCAATGTCCCCTTCACATCACCACCTCATGGCCTTGCCTGCCCCCTTGTGAGCTCTGCTGACTTCAGGTCCCTTCTGACCTTACCCAGGTTACACACAGCCTGTGTTTCTTCCTCACACCCTCCCCAGCTGTACTTGAGGCCTCTGCTCAGGACCTGCCTCAGAGACTCATGAATGCAAGGTGGAGGCACCCAGTACCAGGCCGATTTGTGGAGAGACCAGTGAGCTGGAGGACATATAGTTGGTGGTCAGGGCCTGGTTGTTGGGGAGGAAGGGTATGCCTGGGGGACCCAGGGCTGAGAGCTGGACTTCAGATATTACACAATGGCTCCCCACTGGCTCCTTTTGGCAGCCACTTCCCTAGGGCATTGAAAATAGGCCTCTTCAGGCTAAGTGGAGCATTGGAGGAGGCAGAGCTCTCGTATAACTTGGCCTTAATTGCCTGCCTCAGTCTTCCCTGTTTTGTGGCTTCTCCATGCACCTTTGGGACTCAGGCCCCATTTAAGCCCTTCCCAATCTGTACTAGCTGGGGCTTCTGATCCAGAGTGGCCTCATTAGCTTCACCCGAAGGCTGAAAGCTCCATCAGCCCTCACCCCAAGCCCAGCAAACATTCCCACTTACAGAAAACCTTTTCACCAACTGCTGTTTCATTTGCTCCTCACAGCAACCCTGGGGGTGGCCACTGTCAACTCCACCTCTGAGAGGACAAAAAGGACTCAAAGGTCATATAGATTGCTCAGCCACCTTCAAATTCACTGCAGAGTCAGAAGTCAGATCCCTGAGTCCCTAACTCCTAGTCATTCATTAATTGAGACTGAGGGGTGGGTGATTACATTTTCTGCACGTGATTGCCTGTCTCTCTGTGCCAGGTTCTTTGCTTGTGTCATTTCTTTAACTCTAAGGCAATCTGCAATGATAGGAATTATTATTGCAGTTTACAGGTGAGAGGCCCTAGGGGTGAAGTCACCTGCTCAAGGTCATACAGCTAATAAGTCATGGAGCTAGAACTGGAACTCAGGTCTGCCTTTCTCCAAATCCAGTGCTCCTTACAATGTTCTGCACTGCCTTTTGGCTGCATCAATTGATCAACTAGGCTAGCTTTTGGGAGACAAAATAAATAAGGCTTGGTTCAGTCTCATAATAACAATAGCGATTAATGTGATGATAAAATTATGCATGCAGATTGTGTATAGGCAAGAAAGCAACTAACTCTGTTGGAAAGAGAAGGCATTGGAAGATTTCCTGGAAGAGGTACTTAAGTTACTCCTTGAAAGATGAGAAAGGTAGAAAACAGTGCCTTGCAGGTAGTGGGAATGCTGTGGAAAAATATGGACATGGGACCGTAAGGAGTCACAAAACTGTTGGGTAGGATATCTAGCTCACAGGTGTTGAGAACTGAAGCTGCACGTGCCAGGTGAACTCAGCTGAGGAAAGGTTCAAATGTCAATCTAAAGCATTGGGTCTTGGTTCCATTTGTGATGGAGAGCCACCACAGAATCTAACATTTATTCAAGTCACTGTGTTCTAGAAGGTTGTTTTTGTGTTTATCTCAATAACTGTGGACTCCTGACAGGCAAGGCCTGTGTCTTTTTCATCTCTCTGTCCCTAGGACCCAGCCAAGGAAATGCTTGTAATATTTTGAAATAAGGAAAGACCAGGCCTCTTGCACTATTCAGTCCTGAATCACTCAGGCCTGGAGTCAGAAAAAGCAAAGGCCCAGGCAAGCTGGTACCTCCCAAGCCCTCTGCTAACTAGAGCCTACCTCTCCTACAAGACCCAGCTTTGGTGCACTTCTTCCAGAAAGCCCTTCTTGATGAGCCTTGCCTGGTCTGAAACAGATACACAGAACTCTGTCAGGATCAAATTCAGAATGTATCATTTATTGCCAAGTCACTTTCTATTTATTTGTTTTATCCCACATGATTCCACAATTTCAGGAGGTTTCCCAAAACAATGCAAGCAAACTTAAATAGGATAAGAAAAAAACTGCCACCAGATAATGCTTGTTAAAGATGAAAAAATAGAATGTGGATGGACAAGCCATTGCTGCTAGGGACAAGCCTCAATCTGGTTCCAAGCTTCCTAGCAGCCAGTTCAAAAAGAGAGATTATGCAATTCTCACTATAAGAAAGGAGAACACAAACCAGTTCCTTAAGGAAAGCAAAGCTCTCCCTAGCACTTCACTTTCACCAGGGGATTCATCTGATGCAGGGGGAAGGCACTGAGTATTAAGATCTTTAATAACAAAACAGTCAAAGTTCCTAAAAGAGTTTCATGTGGCTCCTCTGAACGAAAGCTGAGGATGTCATACTACCGGACACCTCAGTGGAAGGAAGTCTGTGTATGGAGGGAAGAAAATACTATGAGGTACTTAATAACTTGGAGCCTCAATTTTCACATCTGGAAAATGGATCACAGTCTTTCTCTGACTACCTCAAAGTACTGTGTGAACTCACTTTTGAAGCTGAACAAGCTCTGCAAATACTATTTGATATTTAGAGCTGGATGGGGTTCAGAATGGCTAATTGATTTGCCTGAGTTAACACAGTAAATGAGTACTAGAGTCCAGAATTTCTTTCTTTGAGTCTCAGATATCTCATCTATAAAATAGATGGGAGCCACAGTGGATAGATTACAGACTAGGAAAGATAAGGGATATTGAAATTACCTCTTCATGAGACAATGCCCATGTGAAAATTCCAGTATAGAGCCAGTTTCCAGGCCCACAAGGGAGCCTGGAAAGAGGGGAGAAAGTTTTGGGGGACTGGTAAGAGAGGATGGCATGGGAAATGAGTCCTCTTCCTGCTCTGCCTGATCCAGCCTACCTTCTGAGCTGTGGCTTCCCTCCCCGGCCAGCCCATGGGGATGTGAGTGTGACAGACCTGCACCCTGGGGGCACTGCCACCTTCCACTGTGATTCGGGCTACCAGCTGCAGGGTGAGGAGACCCTCATCTGCTTCAATGGCACCCGGCCAGCCTGGAGTGGTGAACCCCCTAGCTGTATAGGTGAGTCTCCTGCCACAATAAGTGGAGGTGTTTGTCCTGGGTGTGGGGGGGGGTCCTCTCTTGGGGACCTCCATCTTTGGAGAACATCCATCTTGAAGGGGTTTCTACGCTGAAAAATCCCTATCCTGGCATCTTCATTTGGAGCTCCTTACACTGAGTGTCCCTCTCCTGGGAGAACATCTGTGCTTGTGGGGGTCTCCATGTGGGGCTGCCCCACCTGGAGGGTTTCCATTTTGGGAGCTGCCATTCTGGACATCCCTTCTTTCAGAGATTCCTCACCCTAGAGGGAGCCATTCTTGGGGTCTGTATCTGGAGGATCTCATCTCCTCGAGAGTCTTCATCGTGGGGATCCCATCTTGAAGATTTTCCATCTGAGGGCTTCAATTTTGGGAATCCCCATAACTAACTATGCCAGATGTCCATATCTTGGGAGTCTCCATTTTGGTAGCATCTCTATCCTGAGAAGTGTCCATTCTGGGGTTCCTCTCTTCTTAAGCTGGTTCCCTACCTGGGTGGTAGCCTGGAAAAGGTCTTGTCTTCTGGGGTGAGCTTATACAGCAGAGGTCATCCCAAGACCAGGTCCCAGCAAAGGTTGGATGCAACAGCTCTGGAGATGGGAGAACAAGTCACCTTACCCTGCCTCCCCCTTTGCCCACAGCATCCTGTGGTGGCACCATCCACAATGCTACCCTGGGCCGCATCGTGTCGCCTGAGCCCGGGGGAGCTGCAGGACCCAACCTCACCTGCCGTTGGGTCATTGAAGCAGCTGAGGGATGCCGGCTGCATCTGCACTTTGAGAGGGTCTCACTGGATGAGGACAATGATAGGTAAGGGTCTGTCTGAGCCTTAAGTCAGAGGTACCCACCTCGGGGAAATAGAGGGGCTGCAGTCAGGGGTCAGACAGACCTGAGGTGAATCCCAGCTGGGATCTGTGCCAAACACAAGTTAGTCTTTTCCCTTTCTTAGGCAGTATAACTGTTCAACTTAGACGAATCACTTAACATCTTTGTGCCTCAGTTTCCTTATCTGTACAATGCAGTTAAGTGTACCTCCCTCTTAGGGTTCTGTGAGAATGAATGTACTGGGATATGTAAGGTGTATAGACTGGTGCCCAGCACACAGTGAACACAATGCACGTGTCTGTCATCATCATCCTCAGTGTCATCCTTTATTGAACAAGCTGGTGGTGTACCAGCTCTGCCACTGGTTGCTATGCAATGTTGGGCAGGTTACTTAATCTTTCTGTGCCTCAATTTCCTCATCTATAAAATGAGGGATAATAATAGTGTCTGACTCAGGGATCTTGTGAGAATTAAATGAGACAAAATGTGTAAAGGCTTAGGGGAGTACATGGCATAGAGTTAATGTTTGAAAATAATATCTATGAAAATAAGTTCAGAGAGCAGACAAAAGGTGAGGTGGCTTCTGGGGGAAAACTAAGCTCCTGGATACCTTTCTGCCCATCCCAGACTGATGGTGCGCTCAGGGGGCAGTCCCCTATCCCCAGTGATCTATGACTCAGACATGGATGATGTACCAGAGCGAGGTCTCATCAGCGATGCCCAGTCCCTCTACGTGGAGCTGCTTTCAGAGACACCTGCCAATCCCCTGTTGCTAAGCCTCCGATTTGAAGGTAACTACCCTCCCCCCAGCCCTAGGCCTCAACTCCCACACCTTCTCCTCTTCCTGATGCCCAGGCATGGTCACAAGCATATACTCCATCCCTGCTCATCTTTGTATTTGGATCCCTGAAACTCCACTTGCCTCCCCACCCCAAAGCTAGAAGGATCCCTTCATATGGACCCCTTCTAGTTACTTGAATTAGCCTTTTCTGTTATGTTTTATGTATGGCTAGATTCAGGTGCACAGCCAAGAGACCAGTTGCCTTAATCTCTTAGTTCCTTCCTCTGTGTTAGCTTCGTTCTCAGTCAGGTTCTCAGGTTGTGGTGAACACAGGGGTGACATACCACTAACTTAGTAACTCCATCAGAAACAGAGAAGGTATACCACTTTCCTAAGAGCTTCAGCAAAAATGTCAGGAAAAGCTCTCATTGCCCTGGCTTAGGTCATGTGCCTATGCCTAAGCCAATCACTGTAGCGGGTGGTAATATGATTGGCAGATCCATCATGTGGTTATCCCTAGTTGACCCAACTGAACCTCCTGGACTGTAAGTGAGAGGGACATGTAGCCTAAAATTAAAATAGGAGTGCTGTTACCAGAAGGGAGACTGGATGCTGGACAGGTAGAAACAAGATCAGTGATCACAGGAGAAGAGGCATTTAAGCTAGGCCTTACAGGATTGAGAGAATTTTAAAAGGAGATTGAGAATGAGCATCTCAGGTGAAAGGAAGCAGTGGTAAAAGAGGAAAAAGCCTGATATGTTTGGGAAACAAAGAATATCTGTGTGGCTGGAGCAGAGGATTTGTGTGAATAGTAGCAGGAGAGAGACAAAGTGATGCTCAGAGATGAGAGGAGTTAGTTTCTGGTATGAATCAAGAGAGAAATGGAATTGGCATGGGGCCCTGATGGATGCATAGTATTTGGACATAATACCTTATTGGGTTAAACAATAGTGAACTAGAACAGTGTATCTGAAAAATAAATTGCATTTTAGATTCTGAGAGTGCAAAAGAAATTCCTAGGTTTGTGGCCTGCCTCCATAGTTGTGGGCTGCTGCTACTCCATAAGCATCAGATTCCTCTTTTGTAACTGAGGTACCTAAGTCTTATCTTATAGATGGTTTTGCAGCTAAGATATGATCAGGTGGGCAAAAACTAAGATGCTTTACAAATGTACATTTTTTCTGACTTAGTCCAAAGTCAAAACTAAGTAATTTTTTCATTGTCTTCCCTTTTGGATTCTTGCCACAGCATGGATGATCAGAATCCAGCTGTTATTTTTGAGGAGAGAACACACCTACCCATGCCAGTTCTTCAAGGCACCTTGTTCCCCCGATTCATGTGCAGTTTCCAAAGCCAAGTGTCTCTGGCTAGGAATCAAGTGATCTGGGTTTGAGACCTGGTTCTGCCACTGCTCTACTGTGTGACACTGGACAAGTGGCTTTTTGTGTGTGGGCCTCAGTTTCCACATCTGTAGAAAGGTGGCTAGGATTTGACTGGCCCTAGGGGTTTCCCTCCAGAGGCCAGGGAAGTGACAAATGTTTGAATGAGGAGTGTTAGAGCTTTTAGGGGAAACTGGAGGGTGAAAGCTAAGCCCAAGGATATTCCATTTTAAACTGCCTCTGAGTGGCCAAATGTCTGAATTCAGCTCAAGTCCCCCAGTTTAAGACCTGTCCTAATGCTTAGTTTCTGTGACTGACTCCTTTCTAGCCTTTGAGGAAGATCGCTGCTTTGCCCCTTTCCTGGCACATGGCAATGTCACCACCACAGACCCTGAGTACCGCCCAGGGGCACTGGCTACCTTCTCATGCCTCCCAGGATATGCCCTAGAGCCCCCCGGTCCCCCAAATGCCATTGAATGTGTGGATCCCACAGAACCCCACTGGAACGACACAGAGCCAGCCTGCAAGGGTGAGTCCTCCACATCCCCAGGAAATCCTTCAGTCTACAGATTACCCCAAGCTGGGGCCCTAGGAAGGCCATTGAGGGAGGACATCTGCATATCCAAACCTAATAAACCTGGGCCTTGGGTAAATCCCGGTCTCATTCAGAGACTGTTTTCTTAGCCAAACAATTGGTGGGATTGTTACAGAATTCAGGGGTCACAACCCAAATGTCCAAGAACTAGAACTGGAGTGAGGCTAAGTCATGGATTGGGTGGTGATGCACAGGCTGGAGAGTGGGCAGGATTTGTGAAGAGCAGGGCTGAGGATTGGGCACAAGAGGACTAGGCCAGGCAATTCACAGGAGGGTAGCAGATAATAGGAACCCTGAGAGGCAGGGTGGTGCTCATGATTGGGAAGGGTGAGGACTATGGTGACATGGAGACTGCATGCCCACCTGGGGCCTGAATCTGACACCTCTTCTACCCTAGCCATGTGTGGAGGGGAGCTGTCAGAGCCAGCTGGTGTGGTCCTCTCTCCCGACTGGCCCCAGAGCTACAGTCCCGGCCAGGATTGCCTGTGGGGCCTGCATGTCCAGGAAGAGAAGCGCATCTTGCTCCAGGTTGAGATGTACGTTTGGGTGCTCCAGAGGGAGTGAGGGGTGTGAACTCTGAACGTGTGATATGACAGTGCACCAGCCTGTGTTCTTTTTTTTTTTGAGCATTAAGAGTTTATTTTGGAAAACAAGAATATAGAGAAAGTAGTACATGCCTGAGAGTGGGGCATGGACAGACCCAAAGAGAGGCTTTCACATCTACACGAGATTCAGTGAATATATGGTCCGATGATAGAGGCAACTAAGAGTTCAAGATGGGGACGTGGCTGTCAGGTAGATGGAGGTACAAATCACTTATTGGCCAGGTGACCTGGGATAAGTAAATGGAGTAATGCAGCCTTCCTCAGCGACTGTAAAAGGGGCTCTGGCCTGGTGTCTCTCACTCTGGCAGTCTCTGAGGCCTCCCCTGGAGGGATTTCCAGGGACTCGGGCCCGAGCGGTTATACCTTCACCGGCCCACAAGATGGATGTGGGTGGGGCTGGGGAGAATCCAGTGAACAGATTTGGTATAAGGTGGTCGTGTGACTGCACACAATCAGAAGCAGGCGTGGCCCAAAAGCACACACTGAGGCCCGGTGGTGAGCATGTTCTGTGATTGGTCAGATTTGGAGTGAGCTATCCCTTGGTGATGGAGACTTTGGAACGTGGGAGGAGTTAGTAATAAACAGCGTTGGGCTGGGAAGCAGGAATGGGCGGAGCCACAGGACTAGTGGAACCTGGAGACGCCCATCATTGGTCAAAACTGAAGAGGGCCAGATCTGGGATTGAGTACTGTGGGGGGAATCTGACACTCCTTCTACCCTAGCCATGTGTGGAGGGGATCTATCAGAGCCGGCTGATGAACTGAACTAAGGATTAGGCAGAACCGGATGGGCGGGGCAGATGTAGCCCAGCCCCCACATGTGGTCCCACTCCCTGCAGCTTGAATGTACGCGAAGGAGACATGCTGACACTGTTTGACGGGGATGGACCCAGCGCCCGAGTCCTGGCCCAGCTGCGGGGACCTCAACCGCGCCGCCGCCTTCTCTCCTCTGGGCCCGACCTCACGCTTCAATTCCAGGCACCGCCTGGGTCCCCCAACCCGGGCCTGGGCCAGGGTTTCGTGTTGCACTTCAAAGGTACGGAATTCCGTCTAGGGGTCCGGCAGGCGAGGAGCGAGGTCCCGGAGCTGGAAGGGCACCCTGAGTTACGGGACAGCCTCCAAACTCACTGTATTCTCCCCTGCAGAGGTCCCGAGAAACGACACGTGCCCAGAGCTGCCACCTCCGGAGTGGGGTTGGAGGACGGCTTCCCACGGAGACTTAATCCGAGGCACGGTGCTTACTTACCAGTGCGAGCCGGGATACGAGCTGCTCGGCTCCGACATTCTCACTTGCCAGTGGGACCTGTCCTGGAGCGCTGCGCCTCCCGCCTGCCAAAAAAGTGAGCCGGGGCCCCGCCATGGCTGCCCACGGCCCAGCCCCTGCCCTCTGGGTTTCGCCTCTGCTTGAGCGCCACCCGTCCTCTCTGCTCCCCGCCTCCGTCTCTCCTTGTCCAGGACTCTGTACAGCCTTTGAGTTTCATCCCTTCCCTTTGGACCTTCCTCAGGCCCCGCCTCTGCCCTTTGGGTCCCATGCCCCTGCTCTTCGGTGCCCCCCAACCATCCCGTCTGGGCCCCACTCACATCCTCTCCGGGCTGCCTCCTTTTCTCTTGCACTGTTCTGGACTCTGACCGTTTCCTCTGGGTCCTACCTCGTCTTTTCGTAGTCCCACCCCTTCCCGGCTCCGCCCCCTCAGCTCGGCTCCGCTCTCCCTGTTCTAGGCCCTGCTTCAGTCTCTCAGTAAGTCCTCAGCACCTGACGTAACTGGAAATCACTTTACCAGAACCTCGGCTTGTCAGGGAACTTGGTTTATTTAAATGCAACCATTTAAGCCCCACCCTGGGTTGGGGTTATGCGGAGGGGTTGGGGTCTCTCCATATCCTGCCAGAGCTCATAGTCGGGAGGACCACAGATACTTAACACGGGATGGTACAGAGTGGTAATGGTTGGATGACTTTGGGCAAGGTACTTAACATCTTTGAGCCTCGACTTCCTCATTGGTGAAGGAGGACTAGGAGGTTATGAGGAGCAAATGAAAAGCTTTTTCAGTGCCTGGTGCGTGTAAACAGTTAAGTAACAGCTGCTATTAGCACAGAGAAGTGCTGTGGTGGTGGGCAGGAGTAAATGTCTCAGGGATAGGGCAGGAGATTTACAGAGGTGGTGAAATTTAAAGGAGGTGGGAGTATATCTTTTAGAAGAGCAGAAAGGGGTGGCATCTTGTCATTTTCTCCAAATTTCAGGAAGCCTGCTACAAGGATATAGGATTGTAGATCTTCCACCTGGCCGCTGGGGCAATGGTGGGACCAATGGGGATATGTTTCAGGAAGCCAGATTTGGGCTGGACACGGAATTCTTTCTAGTTGACACAGCTCCTCATCCCTGGAAGGATTGCCAGAAAGTCTAGTCTGGAAGCCAGGCAGGACTGAGGCAGGGACAGGAAGGGATGGAGGCAGAGCCCAGAGAGGATAGGGACTGGCCAAGCTGCTGGGGGCTCAGGAAGGAACCTTACCTGGGCAGCACATTAAGCCTGATGCTGAGCTGACACCCGAGTCCCTTTCTCAGCCCAGGGCTCCAGGGCTGTGACCCTGTGTGGTTCCAGCTCTGCTACTCTGCTACTCCCTGGGTGAGTGACCATAGGCCAGTCATTTGACTGCTCTGGGCCCCAAGGGAGATAGATGACAGTGATGTTGACCTCTGAGGATCAGCAGGGCATATGATAGTGTGTTTGTTAAACATCTAGCAGGATGCCTTACACAGGCCTATATACAATACATAGCTAAGACTGTCACTCTTCCACAAGGTTATAAACTCAAACACCTGCAGGAACCAGGCAGGCAATGGAAGTGAACAGAAGAGGAGGAATGATGGGAGCAGGAGGGCTGAGCCCCTCGAAGGACGGCAGCTTCCTTTCCACCTATGATCTGCTATGCTAGGCTGACACTGCTAGGATTTAGCTGGTATGGTCTGGTAACAGTGGTTAAATATTTTAAATTTCCCTCTAGGATGAGGGTCTGTGTTGCCCCAGTCACTCTGTTTTCCAGGAGAAGCCTGAAATACAAAATGCACGGAACTTTTTTTCCAACTCCTGCTCTCTTCATTCCCAGGAAATAGTGGATGGTGGGGTGTTGCTCAGAGGATATGGCCCATGGCTCAGTCCTCTCCCATCCCTAAACTTCTAGATCTTTTAAGGCCCTTGTAAGCTCCCTCTGACCTTGCCCTCCTGCCAACAGTCATGACTTGTGCTGATCCTGGTGAAATCACCAACGGGCACCGAACCACCTCAGATGCTGGTTTCCCTGTTGGCTCCCATGTCCAGTACCGCTGTCTGCCAGGGTACAGCCTGGAAGGAGCGGCTGTGCTCACCTGTTACAGCCGGGACACAGGCACCCCCAAATGGAGTGACCGGGTCCCCAAATGTGCCTGTGAGTATGGGGACACCCTGGGAAGGGTGGCTGGCTGGCCTGCTCAGCAGTGCAACTGGCACGTGACTGACTAACATGTTCCCTACAGTGAAGTATGAGCCATGCCTGAACCCTGGGGTCCCAGAGAATGGCTATCAGACATTGTACAAGCATCACTACCAGGCGGGCGAGTCTCTGCGCTTCTTCTGCTATGAGGGCTTTGAGCTTATCGGCGAGGTCACCATCACCTGTGTGCCTGGCCACCCCTCACAGTGGACCAGCCAGCCCCCACTCTGCAAAGGTGCCTGGGCAGACAGGGCAGGAGGGGACACAGCAGTTGTTTGGGGAGTGACAGGGCTGAGAAAGTCAGGTAGCAAATGTGAAGCCAGTGGTCACCCTGCTGAGTTCCCCATTCATTTCCTGTGGGCTCTTATCCTCAAGGGTACATCCAGAAGTACTGGGAGTTCAAGGTCATGGAATTATCCTAAGGGAGGTAACAGAGGGAGCTTTGGTTTGGAAGTCCTTTGTCCTCTGGATAGGTCCCAATTTCCCTATTTTTGACAAATTCTATAGACCTGGTTGGTTTAGACTGCCCAGGAACCCTAAACTTTTAGGGGTCTGGAGGAGGAGGAAGGCCCTGCCCTGACTAGTCCTCCCTGACCCCCATCAAGGGAAGGACAAATAGGTTGAGCACAGGGCAGAGAGAACCAGGCTGTCCAGCCAGCCCCACTGGGCTCCCGGCCCTCCACCCAGCTTCCTTCCCTCCCTGGCTCAGACCCCGTCCCCTCCTCCTCCTCTCCCTGCAGTGGCCTATGAGGAGCTCCTGGACAACCGAAAACTGGAAGGTCAGTGAGGGCACAGGTGGAGATCCCGACCTGGCTGAGTTGGGAGGGCAACGCAGAGGCCTGGGGCAGGAGGCCAGGCCCTGGAGGGGTGAGGCCCAGGGTTCAGGGTCCAGGGCAGAAGGCTGGGAGAGAGCCCAGAGCTGGGCCCAGTCCCACCTCATTGGCCTCTCCTCCTCCCCTCAGTGACCCAGACAACAGACCCGTCACGGCAGCTGGAAGGAGGGCACCTCGCCTTGGCCATCCTGCTGCCCCTTGGCTTGGTCATTGTCCTTGGCTGTGGCGTTTACATATACTACACTAAGTAAGTACCCAACTCAGGGAGCTGAGGGCCAGGGCAGACATCCTGCCTGCCTGGCACAGGAGCCTGGGTGATGGGGGGGGCAGGGGCTCACCTCTCGATAAGGCCCTCTATCTCCTCCCTTTCCCAGGCTGCAGGGAAAATCCCTCTTCGGCTTCTCGGGCTCCCATTCCTACAGCCCCATCACGGTGGAGTCAGACTTCAGCAATCCACTGTATGAAGCTGGGGTGAGCCCTTCTCCTACCCTTGAAGAGCCACATTCTCAGCCACCCCATGAACAAAACAAGTCAGGTGTGAACAAAAGGGAGTGGTAAGGACTGTGACTAACAGGAGAACTTGTGCCCCATCTAGTCCACAGTGAAAAGTTAGGTGCAATTGCCAGGTCTTTCAGTTGTTCAAGACAATCCAGAGATTCAAACTTTTATGTGATTTTAAGATACTACAGAATGAACCAAACACATCCATTGGCCAGATTCAGTCCCATTCTCACCCTGTGGTCCCCACATTTCCTGATCAATGTTACTTTAAAAACCTAGGGTCTTCCCTCTTCCTTGTGGTTCCTCTTCCCATTTGCTGCCTCCTCCACCCCCATCCCACTCCAGCAACTGATCCCATTTCTCTGTCTCTAGGATACACGGGAGTATGAAGTTTCCATCTGAACCCCAAGACTTAAGCTGCAGGACCCAGAACCTGTCCCAAGCTCCTTCTCTTCTCATTCTGGGCAGGGAGGGGTTCAGGACCTGGTCTCTGGTTCTTTTCCTCCCTGCTGTGTAAATAGTCTCCTGGTCCTACAGGGGGGCTTTGATGGGCCCTGGGGACCCTAGAGTAAATAAACCAGCATCCTGCCACCCAAAGCTCCTCTTCTCAGTTGCCAAACCAGGGGCCTGCCCACCCCCTACCAGCTTTTGGATCCTCCTGGGAGAGGAACTCAGCCCACCTGCAACTCCTGGAGCTGCTGCAGCCCAGGACACCTCACAAAGATTGCCCGAGGGCTCTACAGTTCCTTTGGCCTTGGACGGTCAGGAGGGATGAAGGGGAGAGATGGGACAAGGCCCCTACCCACCTCCTGCTATCTCCCCAACCTACAACCCTCTACCTTTGCTTCTGGATTTTGTTTTTGAGCAATAAACAGAAAATCACCATTTGTAACTGGCTGGTGGAGTGTGGGAAGGTGGATCACAGAGCATAACAGATGGAGACGGTAGCCTCTCCAAAGAGAGGGCTGGGGAAAGGGGAACAGTGTGGAAAATGGTGGAACTCCACGACTGGGCACAGGGCGATGTCAAGTAGGCTGGCCTGGGGTCAAAAAGCTTGGTTTTTGGCTCAGCCTCTGTGGAGGACTGGCTGGGAGGACAAGCCCCCTCTGGGCCTCAGCTGTCTCTGCGTAAGAACTTGATGTTTCTAGGTCCTCTCGCCAGAAGATAACTAACAGTAACCACCTCTCCCCACTTACTGTTTGGGGGAAGGCAAATGGCTCTCTGTTTCATGAATGGTTTACCTAAAATTCAACCCCTTTTTGAGAATTTTTGTATCCATCTAGTGTTCCACTCTTTTTCTTTCAAGCATACCTGTTGTACCTATCAACCAAGTACTGGTCAGATCTGCAGCATTTCACTAACAGTGAACTTGTTTTGTATCCTGTAGGCCTCCTTTTTTACTTTATCTATTTTAAAACATTGTAAGGAATGTATAGCCTGTTTGTCTAAAGTCTTTCTCCAAACAAATTGGATTTTACTTAATTAAAATTTTAAATACAATGAAACACTTTTAAGACAGATGATACAAAAATACTCAATAGAAGGTTGAATTTTAGGAGAAGTGTGGCAAACTGATCTTTATAGTAGCCTAAGGTTTGGGGGCATTTATTCTGTGTCAGGATTGTGCTAAGCACTTTGCATCATTGCTCACAAGGATCCTGTGAAACAGACAGTTTATTCCCATTTTTCAGTTAAGGAAACTGAGGCTCAGATGTGAACTGGTTTTCTCAGGAGGCTCCACTAAGTGCCAGATTGGGATTTAAATGCAAATTCACAAAGCCTACCTCACTGTCTTCTGGCTAGTAATGGGTGTGACATATTCCTGTAGGCATGAGGCCCCAAAGGTCAGAGGGGAGATCTCACCACTGACAGTGGTGGCAAAGGTAGCTCTTCAGAAGCAAGGGTGGACCGTCTCAGATGCCACAGAACTGTACCTTAAGGTGCTGGAGTTTGCCTAGGAGGCTGGTTTGGACCTATGAGCTCATCTGTGCCAACAGGTTAATAACTGAATTAAAATCATTCCAATAATATGCCCACACATCTGGCCAAAAAAAAAGGGCCACTCTCACATCTCTACCCCAGAGAAGCCACACCAGAGCACGCCTGGGTTGGGAGGAAGGCAGGATCTCTGTGTTTTTATTAAAGCCTTTGATTTCTGGTAGTGGTGTTGCCAGCTGAGGATGGAGAGGTGTGTGCTGGTTCCAGAACATTCTGGAAGCTTAAGGGTTGATGCTGCTCATGACTATGAATCACCCCCAAACCCAAGTATTTAATGAGTTCTGAAAGAGGAGCTTTGAGGCATGTTCTAGAGGGACAGAATGGGGCAAGGCATGAGAGCCCAAAAGCAGCACCACAGAGGGTTGGGATCATCCTCCAGATGTCAAACTGCTAGGCAGAGTTCCCTAGGAAAGAATCAGAATTTTGATTCTTTGGATCCAAGCTCATGTCTTCTTATCCCTCCATCCACTCCCTAAGCCCCACCTAGCTATCCATCAACCATTCTCCTGCTATCTATTCATCCATCTACCCATCTATCCATTAACCCACCACTGTCCTTCCACCTATCCATCCATTCATGCATTTCTCCATCCACACTTACACCCATCATTCCCCATCCATCTGTCTGCCAATCCATGTATCCCTCATTCATCCACCCACCCACTCACCTCTCTTCCATCAATGGATCTTAATAAGGCACTCATAAAGTCTCGATGAGCCCCTGGTATCTTGTCTCTATACTCCAGTGGTTAAACTATTTCTGTTTCCACCCTCTCCCATCCTAAGAACACACACACATACATACACACTCATATTCATTCTACTGAGACTCAGCTCTCTGCCTTTGCTTATGTATGCCCCACCACTTGGAATACCCCTACCAGCCCATTTTTTCCTGTAAAATTCTTTCTTTAGGTGTTACTTCCTCTAGGAAGCTCCATGTTTCCTTTCCTTCCTGTCCCAAATGAGGCTGGGATAAATGCTCTTCTCACTGTTCCCATTTCTATTATGGGGATGTATCTCTATTATAACCAGCCATTTACTTGGCTGGATCCATACTAAATTGTGAACTCTTCAAAGGCAGAGACTACCATTCATTTCTGTGTCCCAAGCTCCTGAAACAGGGACTCTAAATATTTGGTTAATACTAAATGGCCTTGTAATCCACCAGGCCCAGGGCATACCTTGTCACGAGGGGATGGCAGGAGGTGTGCCTTGGTATGGGTATGGTTTCTGTCAGAGCTAGAGAAGAAAGGAAAAGAAAGGCTAAGAGCTCTGAATTCAAGGGTCAGAACAAAACAGAATAAGACCACATGGTTTAAAAATTCCCCTACCCTGCTGGGATGTTGTCAAACCCTTGCTCTCTCCCCTACAGGCTCCTCATCATTCTCCCAGGACAAAGGGCTTCTCCCTTGAAGCCTCACCGGGTATTGGTGCCTCAGGTCTTGGTGAAGAACACTGGAAGTAGAGACCCCAATCGGAGAAATTACTATCTCTACAGCCAGTAAAAGGTGTTGATAGGAAGGGAGGGGCTGAGATGATTCCAGGCCAGCAGTGAGGAGTGGGTCCTGGGTTCATGGGTCGGGGGGCACAGTTCAGTCCTAGGGCTGGCTGTGGGAAGCAGGAAAAGGCTGACTTGTGAAGAGGTCAGCTGTGGTTGAAAGGGGTCAGGGTCTCGAAGGAAGGGCAGGGAAGGGTTTCTGGATACAGTGGTCCTGGAGTGAGGGTCACCATGTTTGGAAATCTGAGTTATCGGTCTTGTGTCTGTTTTTCCTTGGTATGCATGGGGTTCATGTGGTAGCTAGCGATAAACAAGGCCTTATCGGCGAGTTCTGTGCTGACCTGGGTCAGGAATTCCCCAGAACGGGATAATGAAACCTTCTGGGAAAGGGAGGGTCAGAGGGGCTCAGGCTGGGAGTTCCCACATGGGAGTCCTGGGTCTGAAGGTCCCTAAGTTGGGGGCTCTGGGTCTAAGGAGTCTGGTACTGGAGGACTGGGCCTTGAAATTCGTCCCAGAAGGCCCTCAAAGTTGGGGGCAGCTTTTGGGGGTCTCAGGGCCTAGTGCTGGGGACTATGGGCTCAGTCTCTAGGCTAGAGTCTCAAGGCTGGAGGTTTCAGTGCCTAGGAGCCCCCCACTTCATTCCCCCAACCCACCCCTGCTCACCAGATCTCCACCCAAGGAGGTTGCTGCTTCACCCAAGGAGGCTGCAGGTTGGGGCAGCCAGCTGCCCATTTTCTCCTCATTCCTGGTAGGAGTGGATGCCATCCCTCTGGGAACAGTTGGAGCCACTGTTAGACTGAGACACCAGCCCATCTCCCCCAGACCCATCCCATCACCATTCCCTGGGCTCACATTTAAGCAAGGCCTTTAGGTGAACCCTCCTGTGATCTCAATTCTCCCTCTGCAAAAAAAAAAAAGCCAAATCCGTTGCCTTAAATCTTCGCGGGTCAAGGACGGGGTGGAAATGCCCACAACAATCCCTTCTCCCACCTTGCCCAGGGGACCTCCTTCCCATCTTCCCACCCAAGGCCCTTTCCAAGACAAGGCAGCCTCCGTGCTGCCCCGGACCTCATAGATGGGCAGAAATCTCGGGCTACTCGGCATGAGGGAGGGTGGAGAGGGCAAAGGGGCACCTATTATAGGTTCGGGGGGTACGGGTAGCTGGAGTTGGGGAGGAAGGCTGGAAAGAGGGGGACCCGGGGCGGTGCCGCTACCCGTGCTATAAAAATCCTGGCGTCTGCGGAGTTTCCGCTGCTTCGTTGCCGGGAGACTAGGGACTCTAGAACCGAAAGCAGGGGGCCATTTTCCTAGCCTATCGCATGCGCTCCTACGGCCTCTCCTCCTCCCAACTCTAGGTCCCTCTTTGGGGGCGGTGAAACTTGAAGGAGCCAGAGGAGGCTTGAGAAACTTGGAAAGGTCACAAAAGGTGGAACCTGAGACCTAATCCTCCTACCACTAGGGGCATGCAAGAAGCAACCCCGCCCGCAACAGCCCTCCACGGTCATCTCTCCGCGTGGAGACGGCGAGAGCAAACGAGAGCAAAAGAGAGGGGGCGGGGAAGAAAAAAAATGTGGACTCTACTAAATCAGCTTGCCTCTCAGGAGGACGGAATCTTTTCCCTTTTCTTTGTCTCCAGGATGCCATGCCCTCCCCCGGGAGGAAAGCAGAGATGGTCATCTAGGCCTCCTTCTCTTTTGACCTCTCCTTTTTCGTTCCTTCCTTTGCTCGGTGTCTCTGGTTCATCTCCCCCTGTCTCTAGCAATTTGGTACGAGCCGAAGGAAAGGGACAGAGGGAGGAAGAGGAAAAGGAAGCGGGCAAATCTTAAAGGGAGCGCAGCCATTTTTAAGCCTCTTTCTTTTTCCAATTTTGCAAGGTGCACAGTAGAGCGGCGGGGGCCTCAGCTGGGGACCGGAGCGCCTGCGGGGCGGGCGGAGGCGAGGGTCTGCCCACTGGAAGGGCCCCGCGCACCTCCGGCCCATGCTCCGGCGGGCAGCGAGCTTGAACATCTGGGGCTGGCCTGGGGCGGCAGGGTCTTGTGCGCGGTTGGCGCGGCCGCTGCGCCGGGCCGGAGGGTGAGGCCGCGCTGCGGAGCGGGGATAGAGCTGGCACCTCCAGATCAGATCCGTGGCGCCTAGGGGGCCGCCGCGATGCCAGGCGAAAATATCTTCCTGTTCGTGCCTAACCTCATCGGTGAGTGTTGTTTGCGGCTCCCGGGGTCGAACGCGAGGGCGAGGGTCCTTGGGCAGGCTCCCTGATCCCACCCTGTCTCCCCTCGTTCCATCCCAAGGTTATGCCCGGATTGTCTTCGCCATCATTTCTTTCTACTTCATGCCCTGCTGCCCCCTCACGGCCTCCTCCTTCTACTTGCTCAGCGGACTTTTGGACGCTTTCGATGGACACGCTGCTCGAGCCCTTAATCAAGGTGATATACAATTCTTATATCCAGAAGTCCAACTACCCTCTGCCCTCTTTTACTGCTTCCTCAGGACCTCAGGGTGGGTGGGTCCTCGGGAATCCGGGAGCTTAGTCATTCCCATCGTTGTAGTAAACAGAACAGAATGGCCAGGTTTTGTAGCCCAAGGGACTTACTTAAGCTAGCTGTTGAGAAGAACTCACTGATAGTGAGGGGTGTGGGGAGCTAGACTGGACATGACAGTAGCAGAGCAGGAGATCTCTCTGAATAAACATCCATCCAACAGGTGTTTATTGGGCGTCTACTGTGTGCCAGGCACCAGCAATAGGGCTTCCAGAAGGCAGGTTTTGAGGGAGGATGGAGAGGGAAGGGGATGGCTTTTGGAAGGTTATTTTTTAATCTGTTTTCCAGACCCACTTCCAAGACTTCCCGTAAGTCCTCGAGTCTCCTTGTCTTGAGACCTGGACCCTTGGTTCTGGGATTGATGTGTTGTAGGGCTGGCTTTGTCTCACCCACGCCTACACTGCTCTCCCATGCCTCATTTCACGTCATGGTGAACTTTGCACACTGGCCTTACACCACAGAGAGCAGCCTGTTCTCTCCGGACAGTGACTGGTGAACATTTTCCATCGTCTTCTAAATTCTGCATTGGAGTTGATAACACCAAATATATAGCCCTTGTCATAGATCCATGGCCCCCAACAGCCTCTACCCACCTAATAGTCACCGTTTTTCAGGGACCCGGTTTGGGGCCATGCTGGACATGCTGACGGACCGCTGCTCCACCATGTGTCTGCTGGTCAACCTGGCCCTGCTGTACCCTCGTGCCACCCTTCTCTTCCAGCTCAGCATGAGCCTGGATGTGGCCAGCCACTGGCTGCACCTCCATAGGTCTGCGATTCTGGGGGTGTTGACCAGTTGAAGAAAACTGGCAATGGGGAGGGGTGAGACTGTATGGGAGGGAGGGTGTCCGGATGTCTGGGATGGCAATAGGCTTCTTTTGGGAAGGCCCCTTTTTAGCTCTGCTTTTTTGGAGGACTGGGAAAATCCTCTCTGTATCAGCTTCAGTTCTGCTGACAGTTGAATTAAGCAGTCCCTAAGACTTTTGACTGGATAGTCAAGGATTCCAAATAGATAACAGCTCTTGGGAAGGGGCTGGGGGCTTTTGAATGTGGCATTTTGAGTCCTGACCCTGCCCCCAGGTAGGTAATTGTTTGGGCAAAACAGGAGTCTTCAGCTTCACTGCAGCCCCTCTGAATAGAGGCAGTTGCAGTACCTACCTGGGGCGGGAATCACTAGGAGGATTGGATGGGCGTTCATGGTAATGAATGCTCATGGAGTCCCCCTACTTTCTCCCCAAGTTCTGTGGTCCGAGGCAGTGAAAGTCACAAGATGATTGACCTGTCTGGAAATCCAGTGCTTCAGATCTACTACACCTCCAGAGTGAGCATTTCCTGCCCCTCCCTTATTTACTAAGTTGATGCCAAGTCCTGGGCTGAGCCCTGGTCCCAGGTTAGCACTGGAGGGACAGCTAGCCCCCCAGCCTGTCCCATGGGAGAAGAGGTCTGTAAGCTGAAGCACTAAGGAGGGTAGGCTCAGTGGGAAGGGCCTGTGTGAACTGGTTCAGGCTTTAGTGGGCCTGAGGCCCAGGTGCACCGAGGGAGGCACTGAGTGACTGGAGGGGAGTGGGGGGCAGGTAGGAGGAGTGGAGAGGTCACAGAGCCAGCTCTCAAAAGGCCTTAGGCCATGACAAGGAGTGCGGGCTTTATTTGTAGCAGAGGCAGCTTCTCAAAGTGCTTTTCAAAAGAGAGACAGTATGTGGAGATGGCTCTTTCCTCTTAGCCCCATCCCACCCTCTGCACCTGCTCCTCCAGTACAATGCCTTCCTGCTACCTGCCCTCAGAGGGTTCTGGCCCTGACCCCTGAGTTGGGGGATAGGGTCAGGGCGCAGTGCCCTGCCCTCTTGTTAGCAGCCTTTTTTGCTGTTTGTGCAGCCTGCTCTGTTTATCCTGTGTGCTGGGAACGAACTTTTCTACTGCCTCCTCTACTTGCTCAATTTTTCCGAGGGACTTTTAGGTAGGAAACGGGCTGGGCAGGAGGATGGGAGGGGGTTCTGGCCTGCCCAGGGAGATGAAGCCAGCAGCCACCTGGGCCCCTTCCTCACCTGCATCCCATTTTCTCTGTGTTGCCCTGGCTCCCTTCCCACAGTTGGCTCTGTGGGTCTCTTCCGAATGGGTCTCTGGATCACTGCCCCCATTGCTTTGCTGAAGTCTGTCATCAGTGTCATCCACCTGGTCACAGCTGCTCGAAACATGGCTGTCCTGGATGCAGCAGACCGTGCCAAGAAGAAGTGACCCTGGAACCTCCAGCCCCTGGCTGTCCACCTGCCCTGGGAGTCTCACGGTACCACGAGGGTCCCCTCTCCCTCCCAGGAGGTCCCACTCTCATGTCTTCCTAACATGTTATCCAACATGCTGGGAACGGGGTAACCCTCTCTGGGGATGTCATGTTCTCCATAATCCTGAAGACCATTCCCATCCCTGTGATCCCCAAGGACCTGGACTTCAAATAGGAAAGATGTTCTGGTGGCCCCACCCATAAGGGCAGTGCTCCTGGGGCACCAAGAGGCCTGAGGACTGGCATTGTCACACATGCTGGCTCAGCGCTGGGGTCTGGCTTGACCTGAGACTTCAGGGACACGAGTGTGAGGGAGATTGGGCAGGGGCCAGGCTTCGCAAGAGGCAGGGAGTCGGACCTCTGCTCCTGGCCCGAGGAAGCCTGCAGGTGCCAAGGCCAGAAGAAAAGGGGCTGTCTGGAACCTTTCCCACTATAGCCCTCTCTGTCCAGTCTGTCTTGACTGAAAGCCTAGATAATAAAGGCAGGGCTTCACTATCCTGGGCTTGGTTTCCTTTGAGATACTCTGGGTTGAGGGAAGACTGGGGGAAAAGGGATATCCATCTGGATGCTTTTACCCCGGTTGTTCACTCGCTGACTCCTTGCCACCTAAGCTGTTGCCATGTCCTCATTGCTCTACTGCTTTATTTTCTGACACTGGCCGTCCATATTTATCGGTGTGCCTGACGTTTTCCACCCCCCCACAGAATGTAAACTGAAAGCACAGACTTTTCTTGTTCCTTCTCTATCCCTGCAATAAAGGTTAACCTTAACCTGGCGTATCATAGCTGCTTAATAAATATTCACAAGTAGATCAGTTGGTTTCTCAGCATGCAGTAGTCCTTAGACCTTCTGTGGGATGTGTCTTAAAAATTCAGCTGCTTAGACCTTGTGCCAGACCTTAAGTCACCATTGGTGGGGGATGGGCCCAGAAGTCTGCATCTTTAATAAACTCCAGGTGGTTGATTCCTCCCAGTAACATTGAGAATCACTGTTCCCTCTTAAACATTTTTTGGGCACCATATAGTAGGCACTGTTCGGAGCATCCATCCGTAACAGCTACATCTAATGTCTGGCACCAAGTTTTTAAAACAATATTGAGGCTACCATATGCCAGATCCTGTGCTGAGGGCTCTTTGCAGATGTTACTCATTTTATCCATATAAAATGCTCAGAGCTTAGCTGAGAGGTCCTCAGGTCCAGGAGAGCTGAAATTAGCAGATGTGTACTGAGCCTCAACTCCTACACTCTCCCAGGAGATTGGTGGGAAGAAAGCCAGCCTCTTGGGAGTCAAGCCAGTGAAGGTGGGGATAAGCAGGGAGGTTCCTGTAGGGAATGTAACACTTAGGTGTTGGTGGTGAAGGGGTGAGTGTCTCAAGTAGAAAGGTGGTAGGGATTGGGCAGGAAGGGTTCAGGAGAGGATTGGTTCTCAGCTGAGGGAACAGGGAGGTCGGTGCCCTAGGCAGTTGTGGAATAGGCAGTTGTGGAAATGGAAATGTTACAGAAAATACTGGAAAGACCTGGACTGGATCACTGACGGAAGAACCAAGCGGCACTCAGAGGTCTTGGAGTGTTGAGGGTTATTTTACACCAGTGGGCTCAGAGGGGAGTAATCTCCCAAGGTCTGAGCCCCAAACAGAGGCAAAGGGAGCCATATATATCTGCTTCTCCATCTATAACATTCCTATGTGCACAGCAAGTGAGCAAGCAAGAGGAAGGGAGTTTAGGGAGTAAGTGCCTGGCAGAGCGGAGAGTGAAGGGGAGGGGGAAAAACAGGGCTTTCTGCTGTCTTTGCTAACAAGAGAAGAGAAGGGAGCCACCTGGACTAAATTGCTGTCCTTGCAAATTTTTCCCAGAAACATGAATGTTGATGAGACTGGATTACTGAGCACTGGTGGCTGGATATGGAAGGCAGAGGCAGCTGACAGCCCCTGTCTGATCTACGGGGTCCCAGTCAAGGGGGGAGACCCGTGGTTGTCCATCCTTTGTGAGCTCTCCCCAGCTGCATGAGTCCTGTGAGTACTTGCTCAAGTCCCGCTGACTGGCTCCTTGGCCTTGACCATTTACAGTGACATCAGGAGTCTCTACCTTCTGTAAACCCAGGAAATTGTCTAAAAAAGAAGAGGAGGAGATAGGCAGGAGAACATGAGTATCTCCCACTCAAGTAGAAAATGTACCCACACTGAGGATGCTGAGGCCCCTCCCTGGTTGAGGCCTGGAGGTTAGCCTGGTACCTCTGGTCCAAATCCAGTGGCAGGACTGAGCCCAGGAGGAACCTGCAGTGTGGTTCTGTGACCTGAAGGAGAAGGGAGAGGAAAGTCTAGACTGCATTTGATCAAGGGAGCATAGTAGAGTCACATTTATGTGGCTGTGATCTGAATGTGTACCTGCAAATGTTGAAACAATGCCTGATGTGACAGTGTTTGGAGGTGATCAGGTCAGGAGCCCTCACCAATGGGATTAGTGTCCTCACAAAAGAGGCCTGAAAGAGCTTTCTTGCCCCTTTCACCAATTAAAGACGCAGCAAGAAAGTGCCAGCTGTGAACCAGGAAGAGGGTTCTCACCAGATCCTGACCATGCTGGTGCCTTGATCATGGACTTCCAGCCTCCAGACCTGCAGAAGTGAGAAATAAATTTCTGTTGTTTATAAGCTTCCCAGTCTGTGGTGTTTTATTATAGCAGCCAGTGCAGGGTGACACATAGGTGCAGTAATAACTTCCTGGATTTCAACTATATGCTTTTAGACTGAATGAGTAGCCACCTTTTAAGGCATTCCATTTGCTCATTCCATTCAACAGGCTCTACCTCAGAGAGGGCACAGATGGGCGCCATGAATCTGCTATTACCTTGGGAGGTCGGGAGTCTCCTGGCTCTCATACTGTAATTAAAGGTAACCCTAAGTGCTGCAACAAACCTGAAGATGAACAATGGCTCAAACATGATCGAAGTTTGTTTCTAACTCCTGTTAATTCATCAGGTGCTCCTGAGTGGGAGATGGCTCTCCTGAAGTGGAGATTCAGGGATTTAGGCTCCTCCTGTCTTATGGTTCCACCATTTACAACACCTGTCCCAGAGCTCGCTGCTTGCTTGCATCAAACAGCAGAGATGTGCCTGGAGGAATGTGTAAGGCTGGTTTAATGGGAAGGCAGGAAACTGGCACATACCACTTCCATTTGCATTTTATTGGCTACAACTAGTCATGTGGCCACATTTATGTGCAAAGGATGTTGGGAAATAAAGACCAGTTGTGAGTCTAGGAGGCAGAGAAAATAGATTTGGTGAACAGCATCTTACCATGCTGGGTATGACTGTGCTGTTTAAAGGCACAAACTTCTTACACAAGCGGATCCTTAAGCAAATCAGTTACCTTATCTGGTATTCAACCAAAGAAAAGCCATTTGCTCCTGTGCTAGAGAAAAACAGGCGACGCTGGATTCCAACAGAGATCATACTGTTCCGTGTTTTAGGAGAAATTTCAGAGAACTTCAAAGATAAATTTGGTACCAGGAGACTGACTTAAGAGTCTGATTCTGGTGTGAACTGAAACTCCACGCTATTTCCAGCAAGGCTGTTTTCCTATTACTGAAGCATATCTTGTCTCCCTCACCACACAATCAGTGCTGGGTCTGTCTTAATGCATACAATTTAAAAGCAGTCTCCCCTTGTGAGGTCCATGTAGTAGGATAGGCTAGATTTTGCTGTGGTAACAAAGCCATCTAAAATCTGTTACTTAATCCAGCAAACATTTATTTCTTGCTCCTGGTGCATGTCTACTGTGGGTCAGCTGTGCCTCTGTTTCATGCTCTTTCTCTCTGGGGCCCAGGCTGATAGAGCAGCCTCTATTGGAATATTGCTTGTCACCAGGGATAAGGAAGAGGACAGTGATATCCCTTCCTCTCAAATGTCATTGGGCAGAACCAGTCATTTGGTCAAATCTGATGGTCATTAGAGATGCATGTGGAGACATCAAGTCATCAATTGGAAATGAGTCCACAACTCAGGGGTGAGATCAGGGATGAAGAAATATCTTTTGAGATCAGTGGTATAGAGATGGTCTAAAGCCATGAGCCTTGCCAAGAATATAGCTGTGTAAGAGCAACCCACAATTCAGACTGAGTAGAGGAAGTGGAGTGGCCCCAAGATGGAAAGAAAAGTGGAGTAGGCTGTGTATGTCATGGAGCCCCATGTAGAAGGGGGCACCCACTGTGAAGGATGGGGGTGCTAAACAGATCTAGTTACAGGGAGGTTATTGGGGGTGCCACTTGGAGCAGTTTCTTTGAAGCAAGGGGCAGAGACAGAAGCTGATTGGAGTGGTTTTTTCTAGGCAGGAAGATATGAGTGGGGTGGAAAGAGAAAAAGGACAGGAAAGTCCACTAAAAAGACCCAGAGTTAATCAATTAAAGCTCAAAAAGCCAGGAGCAACTTGGTCTGGAATGTTTGAATATTTCCCAGATAAAGGAGGGTACCTCAGCATAGCCCATGTCTTTATTGTTTCAATCATGCAGGCCTAGCTTATTTTTTACCTTTACCTATATGCTGTTTTTTTTTTCCTTCTGCCCTAATCAAGTAGTTTGTAATCTAGGCATGCAGGCCTAGATTTAGCATGTAATTTAGTATGCAGGCCCAGCCTTAAACAACATAGTAAAAGGCAGGAAGAATTCCATCTTAAAGATTGTATTTTAATACCCAGGAAGTTAAGAAGTAAAATTCTTAATTTACTCTTTAGCAAACAGACAATACACCTTGGGGACTATGTAAGGCTGGAGGTGCCGGAGGGAGGGGTGAGCATGCGGGATGAGCTCGGCTCTCACCAAATAGGGAAAGGGGGGGCAGCAAAGCCCCCAACCCTGGCCTAGTAAGGGAAAGAGACCAACAGATTCTGGCCTGATGATGTACCAAAATCCCCGGCTGCTGCCCCCTCCCAACCTGGAAAAGGTGTCTTAGGGTAGCCAATCTACCACTGTAAACCTATGCTCTCCCTCCCCCTAACTTCCTTAAAAACTCACTGCCTGCCCTGCTTGGCGCGACTTCTCCGGCCTGTGACTAACCAGACCAGTGAACATTGCCCAGGATTGCGCCCTGTTTAACTTTTGGCTTTTTTGTAGCCTCCTCGCCTGGTCATTTCAGCTCGATTTTACTTTACAGGCTGGGCAGGCCATCTTGTTTAATATGCTCTCAGACCAAGATGCAGGAAGTTCCTTGTGTTAAGTCAATTTTAAATATTCAGGGACCACTTAATGAGTCTGCACCCCCAGCCCTTTGTTACATTCCTGAAAAATCTTTCAGGGAGCTCCTCTCTCTGAGGTCGCCTTCACTTTCTAAGTGCACAACCTTTTAATCTTAAGCTTTCTCTCTCCAAACTTTCAGGGTGCCTCTCATTGCTGAGGTGGCCTGTACTTTTTCTCTCTTTAAGTAACTTTAAATAAAACTTTTACTCTGCTTCACTACTGTGTCTCTGCCCTTCAATTCTTTGTTGCTGTGGAGACAAGGATGGAAGAAAATAAACAACGCTCCCCCAACAGTTTGAGATAATGCAAAGTGAGAAATGGAAACTGAGAAATGTGGCTGTGAAGGAGAGAGAGAGGAGAGGTGGCAGCTGGAGGTAAAGTGGGGCTGAGGGAGCATTTACTGGTTGGTTCTACATGGGAGACAGTAGAGCACATGTATACTGCGGTAAGACATTCCTGGGGAGATAGGAGGGACTGGGAGCAGGAGAGAAAGGTGATAGTGAGACAGGGACCATGGGTGTAGTCAGAGTACGGTGAGGGCCTCCGGAAAAAGCAAGGCAGGATATTTACAGTCAAAGCCATGTAACAGTGTAAAGTCCCTATCGAAACTCTTGTGTTCAGCATTATATAAAGTCAAGGTCCCACTAATTCTCTAGGGTAAAGATACCAGACTAGGAATATAGACATCTCCATTGCGATCAGTAAAAGGTCAAAAGGCCAGGAGCAACTTGGCCTGGAATGTTTGAGTGCACGGCAAGAATATCTCAGCATAACCCATAACTTCACTGTAAACAGCCCTAGCAATCAGACAACAATGCAGCCCACCTTGAGGGCAGGGCAGGTGGCACAAGTCCATACCCTAAGCCCTCAGTTCCCCAAAATCCTCAACTGCCTGTAAGTCCCCTAGACAATGCACCACCCCGGGCTCTCTTGTCCCCTCCTGGCTCATGCCAGGAGCTTTGTCCTCTCACTGTATCTCTCAATAAAAGTCTCCCTGGCTCTCCTACCTTGACTATTTGCTACGTTCATTCTTCAACTCTGCAAACAAGAACCCTGGCATCAATAGGGGTAGGCATGGACTGAGGACTTGAGAAGGGTGGGATGGGAGAGCCCAGAGGGAGGAGCTGGGTTCAGAGGGAGCAGGAGGCCAGGTGCTAGTAGTTCATTGGATTTGCTGCTGGGTAAGGCCTTCCCACCTCATTTGCTTCTATTTTCTCAAAGGTTGAGAGAAAGTGGGCAGGGGTGTGGGAGGCTGAGAGGAGAGGTGAGAACAGTTATTTGGAGGGGAGCTCCTGCAACTAGAGCATAGTCAGAGGCAGTAGGTCTTCCTTGAAATGTGTTGCCATGAGTTGAAATGGGATCAGTCAGGATGTGGGGTGTTCTTCCTCCAGTAGCACATGGCTGGTCAGGGGTGGGCAGAGAGTGCAGTTGGCTTAAGAAGGGATGGGGCTTAGTAGAAGAGGAGGGAATACTTTCAAACTCGTTCTTTGAGGCCAGCATCACTCTAATACCAAAACCAGGCAAAGACACCACAAAAAAAGAAAATTACAGACCAATATCCCTGATGAACACAGATGCAAAAATACTTGACAAAATATTAGCAAATTGAATGCAAAAAAAGATCATCCATCATGATCAAGTAGAATTTATTCCAGGGATGCAAGGATAGTACAATATTAAAAAATCCATCAACATCATCCACCACATCAACAAAAAGGACAAAAACCACACAATCACCTCCATTGATGCTGAAAAAGCATTTGACAAAATTCAACATCCATTTGTGATAAAAACTCTCAACAAAATGGGTATATGGGGCAACTACCTCAACGTAATAAAGGCCATATATGAAAAAGCCACAGCCATCATCATACTTACAGCGAGAAGCTGAAAGCTTTTCCTTTAAGATCGGGAACACTACAAGGATGCCCACTCTCCCCACTTTTACTCAACATAGTACTGGAGGTCCTAGCCAAGGCAATCAGATAATACAAAGAAATAAAAGGCATCCAGATTGGCAAGGAAGAAGTTAAACTGTCCCTGTTTGCAGATGACATGATATTGTACATAAAAAACCCTAAAGAATCCATTCCAAAACTACTAGAGCTAATATCTGAATTCAGCAAAGTTGCAGGATATAAAATTTAATACACAGAAATCTGTTGTATTCCTATACACTAATGATGAACTAACAGAAAGAGAAATCAGGAAAACAATTCCATTCACAACTGCATCAAAAAGAATAAAATACCTAGGAATAAACCTAACCAAGGAAGTGAAAGACCTATGCCCTGAAAACTACAAGACACTCATGAGAGAAATTAAAGAAGATACCAAAAAATGGAAACACATCCTGTGCTCATGGATAGGAAGAATTAATATTGTCAAGATGGCCATCCTGCCTAAAGCAATCTACAGACTCGATGCAATCCGTATCAAAATACCAACAGCATTCTTCAACAAACTAGAGCAAATAGTTCTAAAATTCACATGGAACCACAAAAGACCATGAAGAGCCAAAGCAATCCTGAGAAGGAAGAATAAAGGTGGAAGGATTACATTCCCCGACTTCAAGCTCTACTACAAAGCCACAGTAATCAAGACAATTTAGTACTGGCACAAGAACAGACCCAAAGATCAATGGAACAGGATAGAGGGCCCAGATATAAACCCAAGTGTATATGGTCAATTAATATACAATAAAGGAGCCATTGATATACAATGGGGAAATGACAGCCTCTTCAACAACTGGTGTTGGCAAAACTGGACAGCCACATGTAAGAAAATGAAACTGGATTATTGTCTAACCCCATACACAAAAGTAAACTAAAAATGGATCAAAGACCCGAATGTAAGTCATGAAACCATCAAACTCTTAGAAGAAAACATAGGCAAAATTCTCTTGAATATAAATATGAGCAACTTTTTCCTCAACGTGTCTTCTCGGGCAGGGAAACAAAAGCAAAAATGAACAAACGGGACTACATCAAGCTAAAAAGCTCTGTCCAGCAAACGGACACTATCAGCAGAAGAAAAAGGCATCCTACCGTATGGGAGAATATATTTGTAAACAACATATCCAACAAGGGGTAAACATCCAAAGTATATAAAGAACTCACATGCCCCAACACCCTGTTAAAAAAATGGACGGAGGATCTGAAAAGACACTTCTCCAAAGAAGAAATCGAGATGGCCGGCAGGCACATGAAAAGATGCTGCACATCGCTAATTATCAGGGAAATGCAAATTAAAACCACAATGAGATATCACCTCACACTAGTTAGGATGGCCAACATCAAAAAGACTAGAAACTGCAAATGCTGAAGAGGATGCGGAGAAAGGGGAACCCTCCTACGCTCCTAGTGGGAATGTAAATTAGTTCAATTATTGTGAAAAGCAATATGGAGGTTCCTCAAAAAACTAAAAATAAAAATAATATTTGACCTGGGAATTCCACTCCTAGGAATTTACCCAAAGAAAATAAGTTCTCAGATTCAAAAAGACATATGCACCCCTATGTTTATTGCAGTAGTATTTATAATAGCCAAGATATGGAAGCAACGTAAATGTCCATCAGTAGATGAATGAATAAAGAAGAGGTGGTACATATACACAATGGAATACTACTCAGCCACAGGAAACAAATCCTACCATTTGCAACATGGATGCAGTGAAATAAGCCAGGCGGAGCAAGACAAGTACCAAATGATTTCCCTCATTTGTAGAGTATAGCGACGAAGCAAAACTGAAGGAACAAAACATCAGCTGACTCACAAACTCCAAGAAGGGACTAATGGTTAGCAATGGGGAGGGGTGGGGGAGGGCAGGTGGGTAGGGAGGGAGAAGGGGATTGAGGGGTATTATGATTAGTACACATGGTGTGGGGGGGTCATGGGGAAGACAGTGTAGCACAGGACAAACAGTGACTCTGTGGTGTCTTACTACACTGATGGACAGTGACTGCAATGGGGTGTGGGGGGGACTCGATAATATGGTTGAATGAAGTAACATGTTTTTCATGTGAAACCTTCATAAGAGTGTATATCAATGATACCTTAATAAAAAAAAAAGGGACGGGGCTTTTCTACTAAGTATCATGGGGTGGTCGAGGGACACATTAAGGGAGGCTTTGAGTGAGTTATTACACTACAAAACAGACTACAAAATGTAAGCTGGGCAAGACTGAAATGGGCGGAGGCAATGTTGAGAAAGTGGTTGGGGTCAAGGTCACTGAAATCTTGAGGTGGATGAATGGTTCTTGGAAGGCAAGGATGAAGTAGCAGGAGTTGAGATTTCAGATGTGGTGTGGTTATTAATTACAAGGTCAAGGGATGGCCGTGGGAGCCAGCAGCTGAGATGGATGGAACATCCCCATCAGAGACAAACCTTGCAGGCTGTCACTCATCCCAGAAGGCCTTGGCAATAAACTGTGCTAACACAGCACTTACCATGTGTCATGTACCCGGTGAAGTGCTTCAAATTAGTTACCTCTCTTACAGGAAGAGGTAGGAGAGTTAGGAAGCGAGGCTGGAGGCACTGACTCACTTGCCCATTCCATCAACACTGAGCTGCTGGCCCCAGGGACAGTGGGAAACAGCCCCTGCTGGCCACACAGATGCAGCTCAGCTGGGAAGGAGACTAGGGCCACGGGTCAGGCCCAGTGTGGGAACAGGAATAAGACCCTACAAAAGGCATCAACCCTGCTTATTAGGGAACTGCCGGCCCGTTTCACAAGAAAAACAGAGATCAGAGAAGTTGCCTTCTCTAGCCACACAACAAGTAAGGCCCCGCAGCTGACATCTTCATCTAAGAGGGCCAAGCGCACCGGCCTGCCCATTGTGTGGTGTGGCCAGAAGGTGGCGCCAGAGGGGGCCTCCCAAGTTGTGGATGGGGAGTGCCGTGGTGATGCACCTGGAACCAGATGGTTGGATTCCCCCCTTCGTGGCCAAGCTGGGCTCATAGAGGCATTAGCAGTGAGAACAGATGTTATTAGTGAAGGAGACATCCCAGGGGGGCTGGCCAGGCAGGCCCTGTTCTTTTCCCTGCAGTATCACCTCCCTTACCTGGGGTCTGGAAAGCCATCTGCCAGAAGGGCAGTCTCATGGCTAAGACTGGGGTTGCAATCCTATCAGCATGACTTCAGGTCAGTCTTCTCCCTGCCTCAGTTTCCTCCTGACCTTACCGATGAGGGTGGTTTTTAGTAGTTATTTATCTCCCCCTCTGCCATTAACCTCCCTTGTGAGGCAAACTTGAGGCAACAGAAGAGGGTTTAAATGCCCAGAAGTGTTGGTTTTATTTGTCAGTGCAGTACGGAGCTAAGGTGCCATATGGTTGCTGCCAAGAGCATGAGGGGCAAGAGGGGGCTGAAGAAGTGAGCCCTCTTGGGGTCTGGGTACTGCCGCTGCTGTTTTGGCTGGGGGCTGGGCCTCAGACGCTAGACCCAGAAGCCCCCAGGCAGTGTTGAAGAGGTTGATGGGAGTGGAGCCATCGGTGATGAGGGTTGATTTCAGGCCCAGGCTCTGGAGCAGTTTTACCTGGAGGGAGGCAGCAAGGGGAGAGTGAGAAGATTGTCAGGCCCTGGCCCTTATCTCCTTGACTGCCATCCTCCCTCATCTGACCCCGCAGCTGACCAAGCCACCCTCCTGATCAGGAATCTCAGGGAGGAGCATAAAGAAGCCTGAGGGTTTCATCCTCTCAAGAACCTAGAAGGCCTGAAATATCTGGCCTCACCTGCAGCTGCTTCCAACTGCTCCCCATTCTACCCTCTACTTGCCATCCAGGCCGTTCTGTTCCTCAAAGGCACCAAGTTTCACTCTTTTCTCTCTAGGACTCTCCCTGGGAAGCTCTTGTTAACTCTACAGCACTCAAGTGTCCCTTCTTCAGCGACCCTGCTGCAACTGAGTACTTTGCTGTGTCACCTCCCCTTTCCCCTTATCACCCTGCTCAATCTCTTATTAAGCACACAGACTGACGTCCCATCTGTTTGCCTCCCCCAGAGCTCCAGCTCGCTGCTGAGTGCAGTACAGTACCTGATATGACACCGTGCTCAATGACACAGGTCAGGATAAAGGGACAATTCTGTCACCACGTCCCCATCTCTCCACCATTGGCTCTGCCTTCTTGGTTTCAAGTATGGTTTTAAGATACACACACATCCCCCTGCACACCCCTAGCCCTCACCTGCATCTCTGGGCCAGCCACAGCAAGGTCCCTGATGGTGCTGGGACCCAGCGCCTCTGTCATCTGCCTGAACTTCTTCACCTCCACCTCAGCCAGCTGCTGGGCCTTGCGCACCTCCAGCTCCAGCTGGGCCCGGGCATAGACCAGTTCTAGCTCCCGCACTTTCTGTACCCGCTGGAGTTCAGCTTCCTGGAAAGGAAAAGACCCAGCATTCTTTCACTTGTGTGGCTCCTGGAAAGTGTCCATCAAATCACCCTAGCCAGCAAGCCTGAGCAAACTGAGGTAGAAGGGATGGAACTGCACACTTATGGCCAGTTAGGTACAAATCCTGGCTATGCCACCTTTCAGCTAGTGCCCCAGGGTAGTCCATAATCCAAGCCTCAGTTCTCTCATCTGTAAAATGAAGATGAAATCTCAGTAAGGTGGATGTTAAGTATTAAATAAGATCATGCTTTAAAACATATGTAACACATGGCACAAAGCTGGCCACTGTCTGAGTATGTATAACACGTAGGTGTAACAGTCTTTACCTTCCAGGCAGGAATTAAGTTAACTGATAGAGAGCAAAGGACTTTATAAACCACAAGTATTTTAACAGGATTCTATGCTAGCCTCCCTGGTATCCTGCTTGGCTTCAGGGACTGAAGTGATGGAGCCTCTTCCAGACCCTGAGGCCACATCCTTCCATGGGCACCTCCCTGACTCACCGTCTCAATGGCCAAGGCCTCTGCTTTCAGCTTGGCCTGCAGCACGGAGCCTTCTCCCTCTATGCGTGCCGCCTCCACACGGGACTCTGCCTCTGCCTTGGCTGCCCCAGTGCTCTCCACAGCAGTGCTGGAGACAGCCCAGAGTCAGGCAAGACCCAGGATAAAGCCCCACCCCGCCCTCCTCAGACCCTGACTTCTGTTTGGCAGCTTTCTCTCTCATGCACACCCACCCCGACCCCCTCCATCAGCTGCTTTTCCAAAACCCTTAGCCATCTCTTCCTCTATTTCTTAACCCACCTCAGCGCCTCCAGCTCCAAGAGTTCCCTTCGTGCTTTCTCAGCTTCTGATTGGTCTAAGATCTTCTGCCTCTCAAGCCGGCCACGGGCTTCTTGCTCCAGTCTCTGAGCCTCGTGCCTGGATGGGAGAGATGACAGGTAAAATGCTGCATGTGGCTAGGAGCTCCAAGGGCAGAGATCACCAATCTGTTGGGAGCCCTGGCCCAGGAGAGGCACTCAACACACAAAAGTAAGGAGGGTGTGTGTACTGTAAGCCTGGTGCCCCTCGAGATGCAGGGGGAATGTGGTTGTGACTGAGGCCCCTGCTTTTATGACTTCCCTTCAAGTGGGGAAAACAGTCAAGCGAGAGTGATTTTAGACAGTCACAAGTTCTTTGAAAATGGGTGATGTAATAACATGAGTGAGCAGAGAGGGTGCTGCTTCAGTTGGGGGAGGAATGGAAGGGCCTTCCAAGCCTGTGACCTTGGGCTGAGGTCAGAGGAGGAGCCAGCACTGAAGTGCTCTAGGGGAAGAGCATTCTGGGCAGAGGGAACAGCCAGAGCCAGATCTGAAGGTGGGCACCCAGCTGTGTGTGTCAGGAGCAGAAAAGAGCTGGTGGGACTGGAGCACCTGAGCCTGGGGGATTGGGGGAGAGAAAGTAGGGAAGGCAGGGCTGTGCTCCCAAGTGCCTGGAAGACCATAGAAACAAGTTTAGGTTCTAGCATAAGCAAGGCAAGTAACAACAGGAGCAAGGCTGCCATCCAGCCACACTTTCAGGGGACCATATGAGAAGGATGGCAACAGGCTGCCTCCCAGGGGATGCCACATCACCCAGGTCCCAGCAGTGGCCTGCTGCAGGCATTGTGGGCAGCCAGGCCCCACTCACTTGGCAGCTGCCTCCTGGGAGTTGGTGGTGATCTCAATGGCCAACTGCACACTGCGCTGTAGGGCATCCCGGGTCCTCTGATCCACGGGCTCTACCGACTGCACATCCACACTGCTGACCACCAGTCCATTCTGGGGGAAGACAGCCTGGTCTCGGGGCTGGGGTATGCTTTCAGGCCCCTTGACTTCTGGAGTCTCAAAGCCAAAAACAGCAGTGCGAATAATGCGGGCTGAATTCTTATGGAAGTCATCAAAGGTGACAGAGGCCACAGCCCCCCGCACACGGGATGCAATGGCCTTGCAGGCATCACCCACAAAGTCAGGCACTGAGAAGAGCTTGGCCATCTCTCGGGGGTCCTTCCAGTCACTCAGCTCAAAGTGCCTGTGAGCAAAGAGGCCCGGAATGGGGAAGTCATTTTTCTCCAGGAAACAGCAACTGTCTCTCATAGAGAATGCCAATTTGTGCCTAGCATGTGCCAGGTGAGAAACTTATACACATTCACACTTCTCTCAGCCACTCTGTGAGGTGGGGATGAGCATTATCCCCAGCCTACAGATGGGGAAAGAGAGGTCCACAGAGGTTAAGTGACAGGCCCAAAGTCACGCAATATGTGGCAAGCCAGAAAGTTGAGCTCAAGTGGTATGGTTCCAGGGTCTATGCTCTTAGCTGTTATGCTGTAGTGCCCCCAAAGATGTCAGCTCCCCATCTGCCTCTTAAACATCCTGGCCACTCAGCCAAGAGGTGAGCACCACATGCTGGGGAGCTGCTGAGCTTTGCTTCATGTGGGATTTATCTCCCCTGACTCAAATCGCTGTCATTGGAGCTTTAACTATATACAAGGGGCTGTTCTAATTCTCGGGCATTCTTACAACTGTTAAGTTGTAATCTGTGAAGTTGATGGTTATAGTGTCATCTCATTTTACAGACTGCCAAACTGAGGAAAGTGCCAAGTCACTTGGCTAGATCCACAGCTAGTGAATGGCAGGGCTGGGATGCAGATGCAGACAGGCAGCCCCAGAGTGTGTGCTTTTGAGCCCCTGCCCATGCTGCCCACTCCCGCTGGTTGTGTCCAGCTGATATTTTTATAACACAGAAGTTATGTGTTTAGTTGAACGCATGCTAAGAGTTTAGCAGGGGAGTGTCTTCCTACCCTGTCCCCAAAACCCCAGTCCCAGGAGGTGAGCCTGCATCTTCCCTGTCATTCCCCTTGGGCATCAGACTGGATATGCATGACCACGATGATATTCCTTCCTGACCCTGGCACATAGTCAGGCATTGTGCCCTCTATATGCCCAGCACTACAGGGACCATCCCTCCTCATGACTCCCCGGGAGCTGCACCACAGAAGCCCTCACCAACTCCTCCCCATCCTTTACCAGTTGTAGGCAAGCTGCAGCTGCAGCCTGGCATGGTCTGCTGTTTCGATGGTGATGACATCTGTGAAGAAATCAGGCCCAAGCAGCAGGCAGAGCGCACGGCGGGCATGGGGACGCTTGGGCCGCCCTGCCGAGAGGGACAGCACTGTGAACTGCTCCTCAGGACCCAGTGACACCAGCTCAGGCCCAAAGACCACGCTGTAGAGGGAGCTGGGATTCAGACACATGGAGAGCCTCTCCCGCGGCAGTGCCCCCCAAGGCTGGCCCCTCACCGAGCTCTCTTCTCTCTGTAGTCATACACCTGCACAGCAGCGTTGTGAGGCACACGGTAGCTTACCACACGGGTCTTGTTCCGCGGAGCAGGAGGCTGAAGGGTCCTGGTTGCCTCCTTCTCACCCCTGTCTGCCAGAGGGTCCTGTCCCTTGTTCAGCAGCTCCTCCACCCCAGGGAGGAGCTCTTTCTCCCACAGGACTTCGTCCTGGGTCAGCATGTAGGTGCTTCCGATCACAGCACGCACCTTGAGAGATGAGGATGAGGACCGACGTTACCAGGGAGGTAAAAGCAAGGAAGACCCACTGAGTGGTCCTAAAGCAGACCTGGTTTGGGGGTAGTACAGCATCATGGTTAAACATGGTCTCCAGAGAGAGGCTGTGCTTAGGTTCACCATCTGCCAGCCCTGTGCTTCAGTTCCTCATCTGTGAAATGTACATGATAGTGACCCCCTCACAGGGCTGAGGAGTGAATGACATCTCCCATGCCTAGTGCTGAGAACTTGGCAAGTGGTAAGTACTTGATATTGTTTCTTCCGGAATTTTCCTTCATGGGGCATCTTGAAGGACACTCCTCGGGTAAGCTGGCCTCTGATGCCAGGGACAGATGCAGTCCTGGGAAACAGGCAGTACATACTAACATCCTAGGATTCTGAGCTCTACTTCTTGGCTGGATTTTTGGAAAAACAGGTTGGAGATGTGTCCTCAGTTTGACCAAGGTCAAGGTTTCAGGTGAAGGGCAAAGGGGATGGATTCCACCAGAAACTGCATGGAGGGGGGCATTTCTTATTGTCTCTAGGCCACCCCTCAGTAAAACCTTTGTGCTGGAGGTCACATCTGCAGTGGGGACCTGGCTCATCTTCCTTAGGGGTTTCTAAAATTTGAAGTTAGATATTTAAGACAAAGGGAAGGCAAATACTCAATACTCTGCAGATGCCCTCATACCTACAAGCCAGCCCAGGTGCTTCTATCAGTGCTATTGAAGTGCCCTCCCCCACCTCCACCAGACACCTCTCCCCTTCAGCACTACCTGCTCGCCCGGGCAAGCCACCGCCTGGCCCACAGAAGTAACAGTGCCCCCTCCTTCAGCTCTTACCCTTCCGGTCTTGATGTCCTGCACATAGATGCCTTCATTCTCATCCAGAGGGATGGCCTGACGCTCTTCCACCACCTCCACTTTGGTAGAAGGTACATACTCCAGGGGTCCCCGAATAAGCCAGCGGTCCCCTGCCTGGTGTGAGACCTTCTTCTCATCGTTGCCCTCCTCCAGGGGCTGCAGGGCCCTCAGCAACAGTCCCTGCTGCTCTGACAGCACATACACATCCTGGATGCCTCGTTCGAGCCTCTCTCCTGGCTGGAGGAAAAAAGACTTCTCTCCCTAGTAGGGAGACATGGGGTGAGAAGCAATGGCCACCCAAGCTTTCAAGTACTTCTCATGGCACCTCCCCTAGCCCCATGCACTATAGGCTTGTGTTGTGGACAGAACCCCAAAGCACCCTCCCCACCTCCATCTTAAAATACAGTGAGGAATTATCTGGACTCTGAGGCTCTTTACAAATGCCCACAGATCTCATCTGCTCTTGAAAAATTCCGTGAATGGTCAACATCTGGATCCTCACAAGCTCAACAGTTAAGAATTAATCTGTTTTTGCTCTTCATTTCCCCCATGCTTTGTTTGCATGGGATGATATAATCCAGGCGTTGGCAAACTCATCTGTGGGCCAAATCTGATCTGCTGCCTTTATTTTATTTTTTAATATATATTTGAGATATAATCCATATACCATAATGTTTACCCATTTAAAGTATATAATTCAGTTGTTTTAATATATCCACAGAGTTGTCCAACCATCACTACTATCTAGTTCTAAAACATTTTTACCACCCTGAAAAGAATCCCTGAACCCCACAGTTACTGTCCCCACCCTCGCCATCAACCACTAATCTACTTTGTCTCTACAGATTTACCTATTCTGGACATTTCATATAAATGGAATCATGATATGTGGTCTTTTATGTCTGGCTTCTTGTATTTAGCATGTTTAAGGTTATCTGTGCTGCAGCATGCATCGGTACATGCTAACCTTCTGTTCCCAGATGTCAGTACTTGTTCATTTCTTTTTATAGCTGAATGATATTCCACTGTATGGATTTACTAAAATTTTGTATCCATTTACCAATTTATAGACAGACATTTGAGTTGCTTCTACTTTTTCTACCTCCTGTTTTTGCAAATAAAATGTACGGGACTCCACAGCACTTGTTCATTCATGAGCAGACTACGCTGCTTTCACGGTACAAGAGCAGATTTGAGCAGCTGCAACAGAAACCATACCACTCACAAAGCCTACAATATCCATCATTCAGGCTTTTACAGAGTTTGTCAATCACTGGCAGTCTCACATATAGTTCAAAGAAGGGATCAGGCAGGGAGTGAAGACAAAGGGAAACCAAGTTATTCATTTTATGTAGGATGACAAAATTTCTAAAACAGGGATGTGAAATATGATGGGAGTTTTGGGGTCTGTGGGCACAGGGCAGGGCCAGGGAGGCACTCCATTGCCAGGAAAATCAAAGGGACACTATCTTAAAGAGAGAACCAAGTGTTGTTAAGGCATAGAGGAACATAGCAAGCTTGGTGCTTCTAGAACATGTATCTGGGGTGGGAAGAAAAAAGGGAAAGAGGTTGAGGGCCTCATGCCTCTGGGTGAGGGGGAGACACTCACCTTCACAACACGCTTTTGCCCCAGCTGGTTCTTGCCATCCAGTCCAACTGGATCAAGAATCACACAGTAGTTGTGGGGGCCCAAGGTGGTGATGGGCACAACGCCCAGCACCTCCTCGTAGACATCAGGCACATGGGCCTCCGTGTCCTGCACAGTCACCAGCCACTCCTCCCCAGTGTGGCGGAGCACTCTTCCAAAGTCCACAAAGTTCTGCCGAGCCCGGAGGTGCAGGGCTGTCTGTAGAGCAACATGTTGTGGTGTTTGAGAAAACCTGCCTCCAACTTCCTTAGCGAGTCTGGGAACCTCATTGGGCCACTAAATGCTCCCAGTTCTGAGTGACAATTTCTACCAACCTAGGATGACTTTTTAATCCTTTCAGATGACTGTCAGATAATCTGACCTCTGAATTTCTTTTAGTGGCTCTAGAATTATTGCTTCTCTTTTACTTTCATGTAATCTGCTGCCATGCTCTGCCACCCTGAGTACTGGGACCACCCCAGGGACCCTTAACCCACACACCCCAGAGCACAAACCTTTTCTGTAAGGATCACAGCATCTACCAAATCCAGAACCTCCTCAAACACTGCTGGGAGATATGCACCCACTGAGCGGACCAGCCATTCTTCTCCTGGGCCAAGGGCAGAGAGGTGAGGGTCAAAGGTCACCCAGCCCCCTTCCCAGCTGCTCATTCCAGCAGCCTAGACAACAGGAGACCTGCAAGACTTTGTAGGCAAGGAGATGCCACTACCCCCAGATGGAAAGGCCTCACAGGAGTCCTTGATTTCATTCCTTTTGTTGAGACCAGAGGAAAACTAACCCCATCCCAGGAAAATTAAAAGAGCCCTTTTAAGTACCCAAGTTGCTACTGTGCCTTCTCTAAGTTCCAAGGACCAACTTTTTTCCTTCCCCTAAAATGGGCAGAACTGCCTCATTAGAGTTGTAGATGATGTTTAGTTTACCGGAGAAGCAAAAGGGCCTATGTACAAGTCCAGCCTTGGCCTTCCTGGCCAGAAACCCAGGCAAGTAACCTAACACCTGTGCCTCAGTTATATCATATGGAAAATGGGTATCACAGTACCTCCAAGTTGTCTGAAAACTAAGTAAGTTACCATTTGTAAAGCATTTTGAACCACACCTGGCACAGAGTAAGCACTGCATTTGTTAACTCATTGTTTACTACTTTCCATTTGTCAAATAAAACTGCTAATTGTACATGAACACATGTTTTGCTGATCCAGAAATAGGACTACCACCCCAGCTCATAGTAAAGTGTCAGGGATGGGAAAAATCTTATCAACATGATCATGATAACAAGATCAGGTCCAGGCCCCACAATGACAGTGGGATGGGAGAAGAAACAACAGGCAGCCCCTAACAATTTACAAGATACCAGGGGAGCTCTTCCTCCCAGGCTGCTGGTGGCTATCCCCAACCTTCCCCCACTTCCCCTACAGCCAAGGCAGTTGGAGGTACTGCCTGCTTGCCCCTCATCAGCATTTCCTCATGACCCACCTGTCACCCGCTCCTTCTTGTCTCGGTCGCAGCACTCCTTGCGGGCTCTCAGCCGCAGGGCCTGGTTCTGCCTGATGATTGTGGCCTGAATGATCTCCACTACCTCCACCTCTTTCTGGGGGATATATGTGCCTGGGAAGGGAAGGTTAGCAGAGGTTGAAGGTCGGAAAATATCAGGGCTATAATGGGAAGGCAGGGAGCCTCTCACCCCAATTCTGGCCCAGTGGAAAGAACCTACCAGGTCCCTCAAATAGCCACTCATCTCCTGCCACCACTTTCTCTCCATTCTTATCCTCAAAATCCAGCAATGCCTTGAGATGGAGGGCAGTGTTGGGCAGGACCACCTGCAGTGGGGTGATGTCCTGATCGGGGAAGAGGGAATTATGGAACATTCAGTGCTGTGACTCCAGGAGTTAAACCTGATACCTTGGAGGTTAGAGTCCAAATCATTACACATCCCAAAACAAGACCCCGGGTAGAATGTACAGGTAGGGGTAGTCCCAAAGCCATCTGGTCTAAAGAACTAAGATGAAGTTCACAGAGCAAGAAGACACCACTGCCAATGAGCCAAGGACACATTCCTCTACAGGAAGTGCTGAGAAGTGGTCTTGCATTAGAAATTTAGGTGGGAAATCTGGTGGAGGGCTTGATGAGAGATGTGGGAGAAGTACTGGGAAACTGGATAAATGACTATCTCATGGCCTAGTGTGCACAGTGCTCTCTAGAAGGTGGAAGATACAAACTGTCATCGCAAGCATGCTTTAAGTCTGTGGTTTTGTTTTCAAGGTTGCCTCATGGTCACAAGAATGCCACTGTACTTCACTCATCGTGTCTCCTTCCAATCACGAAAGGGGGACCTAGCAGCAAGCAGCCAGACCTTTTAGAAGTCTGTAGAAATGTTTCTAAAAATAGGACTTCACTTGACCTTTGAGAGAGGCAGGAAAGCAAGGAAAGAGAGGTTCAGGTTCTAAAGGGACATGACCACGGTCACAGCTAACAAGAAAGAGAATCAGGAGTTGAACTCAGTTTTTAAGGAAGCCTACCTGCTGCTTCTTAGTCAGCCCAGAGTGACCCTGCAGTGGAGAGGACTGAGTAACTACTCACTGACCAGGTACTGGGTGGGAGAGGTGCCAGCAAGTCCTTCCCTGTATACCCTCTACATGCATGATGCTCGGCTGGTTGTGCTGGGGGCAGGACATACTCTGTCTCCATGGAGGTTAAGTTCCAGCAGGTGGTAAGACAGACACAGAGCACTCTCTCAAGCAGGCAGTGTGCAATGTCAAGGAGAGAGGCTGTGGAAGGTCAGATGCAGCAGAAGTTAGGAGAGGCCCTCCGAAAGTAGCGTTTGAACTGGGGCTCAAAGAAAGAGCTGGCTTTGGGTACAGAGGTGTGGGAGGAGGGGAAGGTAAGCATTCCAGGAGGAGCACGTGTGCCATTGTCACTTCCTTTCTGTTCCATCGCAAAGCTGGCTCTACCTTTACCTATTCCTGCCATCACCGTTACCTAACCCACCAATGTATCTCGCCCGGATGGATGGAAATATCTTCCTAACTGGTCTCCTGGTCACCACCTCTCTCTTTCCAGTTTGCTCCTCACACCGTTGCAGGCTTCCAGCTTGGGTGACTGGGTACCCAGTGTATCATCTGGTAAGAAGGGGAATACAGAGCTGAACAGATGAGAGGGTAAGTGAAGGTGTTAAGTTTGATGTCCAGCATGGGGTGGCTGTGGGACATCCAGGACAGAGCCTCCTAGAGGCAGTTAGGTGACTTGGATGTCCATAGCTCCTAGCTAAGGTACAGGGCTGGGCATCTTCAACAAAAAGTATTGAAAGCAAAGACAGGGTGAGAGAACACACAGGAGGTTCAGGAAAGAAACTGAAGGTGGCAGGTTGTGGGGAGGAGGGGGAGGAGAAAACTAAGATGGAAAAAGACATCCACAGAGTAAAACAGAGACAAGTTTCAATATGAGGGCAGATCAACAATGAGTGTAGTTGCAAGGGCCCTTGAGACATAGAATGATTGTCCACTGGGCCTCTAAAGTGAGTTCAGTGGAGACAGGGGCAGGGGCCAGATGCAGAGGCTTGTCAGGGAATAGGACAGAGAATATTCAAGTACATCAAAAAGTAAGAAAGAATGAGAAAGAGAAAGCAGTGAATCACTAGAAACTGGATTCCCAAGGCCACTCCTAAAAGCCCATACAGATTTAGTGTGCACATGTGGGGAGCTGAAATTCTTAACTAGCTTCTACTAAAAAAACAAAATAGTGTGCATGAGGACACACAGACAAGGCTATTCAGTGAAGCACTATTTTTCATTACATATTAGGAACATCCTAATGATACTTGAGGCCTAAAGAGATAGAAGGATGTGTCAGGTTCCTGGATCCACCTGATGGAGGAGAACCTCCCTGAGGCTCCCGTAGGCAGAAGGAGATAAGGGTAGGCATTACATAAGGGAAGGATCTTACCCTAACAGATGGCTTCATCTGGGAGCTTTTCAGTACTACGACCTGAGTATCCCACATACCCCACCCACAAGGGGTTTAGTTGGTCTGAGGTAGGACCTGACTATGGGTAACTTTCAGCTTTTAACAGTTCCAGACTCATTTAAAAGTTGCAGGTATAGCATAGAGAAGACAAGTAGTGACTCTATAACATCTTACTACGCTGATGGACCATGGCTGCAATGGGGTGTGTGGGGGCACTTGAAAATATGGGTGAATGTAGTAACCACAATGTTGCTCATGTGAAACCTTCATAAGATTGTATATCATGATACCTTAATAAATAAATAAATAAAAGAGCCAAGTTGCAAGAATAGTACAAATAATTCCCCTGCACTCTTCACTCAGATTCCTCAAGGATAAATGTTCTAATTATTCTTCATCACTTTATACACACACACACAACTTCTTCCCCAAAGTGTCTGCAACTCAGTAGTAGGTGGAAACGTCTCCAAGCTCCCTCGGTCATGCTAGTATGTTTCCAGAATCAAGGAGGTGAAGGTGGAAGGCCAGTTAAGGAGATGAAGGCAGATGCCCACTTGCTCAGACCCAGGCTTGAGGGCAGCATGGATATGGGTCTGGCTGGAAGTTGCAGGCCTGCAATGCCTTCCTGTGAAATGGTCACAGGCATTAGAGCCTGGACCTCATCTGCTGTTGCTGTGTGAATGAAACGTTTACTCTCGCTTACTAAGTGACACAAGTTGTTTAGTGCCAGATTGACTGGAAGCTTCTAGCAGGCTCTGGAGCCTAGAAGATTATGTGGTAAGATAGGCCTATAGCTTTAAATAAAGGGGCAAGTCTGTTGTGCACATGTGAGGGGGCAGAGGTGTTTACGGAAGGTGAGTAGAGGGGCAATGAGTCAATTCTGCCCCTGGGGAGCACCAGCGAATGTAATCCTTTATTGCTTCCCTTGGCCCTCCAGAAGGCAGTGAGGAGCCCTAGAACAAGGTAGCAGGACAGGTAGAGTGGGCATAGGGAGGCAAGCCAGGTACCTTTTCCAGAACCTCTCCTGGGTACAGGGGGAAGGGGTCCTGGGCCAGCCGGATTTCTAAGTCAGCGTGTCGCAGCCGTACTTGTCCTGTGATATCAAACAGCACGCAGCCCTGGGCATCCCGGGACACTGGGTTGGCCACTGTGCAATAGTGGTGTGGGGGGACAGTCACCATGCACATGGGGGTAAACAGGATCCTGTTGGAGGGTGAGAAGTGGTATGAGGACCCAGAGGAACCCTGCTTCCTCTCCCAAAGGAGGCAATAAATGGGAGAGAAAGCTTCCAGTCACCCAGGCCAGAGTCAATCCTACTTGGGAGCAGGAAGGAGCTAGTCATGATAGCCAGACTCACAGGCACCCCACTCCTCCCCTTCTTCAGGCCCTACAACAACCTCTCATTGTCCTGCCGGATGTAGGTCTTCGGCCCAACCTCCACATGGGACACGTTGCTGTTCTGGTCCAGCACGTGGATGTAGTGGTATGGGGGGATGCGGATGATGGACTCTTCAGTTGCCATGGTGACTCCTAAGACCAGGGCGGCACAGAGTGACAGACAGGTGGGGAAAAGATGCAAGATGAACACAGGGGCCTGGCAGGAGGCAAAGCACAAGCCTGAAGACAGGTAGGGTTGGGAAATGCAATCTTCCTCCTCCAGCTCAGATTGTTCCACCTTCACCATTCCCACATCCACCTCTTCTTCCCACCCAGGGCAACACAGGCCATCCAGACCTCACCCCTGTCAAGAACTGCTTGATGCAGTTAACCACAGTAGCCCAGGGCTCTCCACTGATTTATTTCCCTCATTCCCATCAACTTTCCCTCCCCTAAGCTGCCTTCAGCACCTGGAGGGATTTTAGATCAAAACTTTCCCAATCTCCCAACTGTGGTGTAGGAGGCTGGGAGAGTTGGTATCTCTGGAGGTACTAGCGCCTTCACCAGCACTGTGGGGAGCTGAGGCTCCTCCAGGGGCAGGCTCATTTCAGGGAATTGAGAGGGCCCCGACTATATTCAAACATGAGCATGATCTTTGTCTACGACTCTCTCCCCTCCTGCTATAAGCGATCCTCAGATGAACTGTTCAGACTTGGGTGACCTCTCAAGGAAGGGATCTCAGGCAACACTGATGCTCCCATAGAATCAAATGGATCAGAAGCACCACATGTTAATCTAGCCCTTTCCTCTCCAGTTCTCTCTGGTCTGTTGCTCCCCCTTGGCTCCCTGCTGTTGTGGGTAGAGGCAAGTGGGGGAAAGGAATATATGAGTACTGTACTCCACCCACCTGCTTCTGAATCCTGGGTAGTTTCATCCAGTGCTTGGCCTGTTCAGGAACGTCACACCTCTCACCTAACCCCCATCCCTTCCTTCAGCTAGTCTTGGATTTTGGACATGTCCCTTGAAGTCACACAAAGGGAACCAAGTTTACTAGGCAACTCAAGAGCCTTGTCCTGAGACTTCGATCAGACTTTAGAAACCACTACCAGGTAGTGTTTGAAAATACTAGAGCAGGCTGTCTGACTTGCGGGCTCAGTTTTCCCCGCTCTTAACCTTCTTTCCTACACCTCTGTATTATCCCTACCTGCTAGCTATGCTGACACTCCCCTGAGTTGCTCCCTGATGTGGCCCTGACCAGAAAGGAATGGCACTTCATCCACTCCACCATTCATCCAACTACCAACCTGGGTAAGAATGACAAGCAAAGAAAAGGGAGTGGCCTGGCACAGGAGAAATAGGCAGGACTCATGGAATTACATAATCAAGGTGAAGACCAGGGTTTTTTTACTTGATTCACATTATCTGTAGTTTCATTTCTTTGTTTAGAAATTGTGTTTTCACAAACTCCAAATTTCTGCTTCTCTTAAAGAATTAGGAACCAGGCCCTACATTTCCACCAGCCAGACTGGCTACAGACGAGTAGCAGCTGTGCCCTTTAGATGGGACACAAGCTTTTCTGCCTACCACAGTCTGTATCACTCCATTGTCTTACACATGGGCTGTTGCACTCAGCACCTGCCAAATGTTTGCTTAAAACCCTCTAACACACCACCCAACAGAACTTTTTACAATGATAAAAGATATTCTAGGTCTGTACTGTCTCTGGACTGGCCACACGCAGCTACTAAATACTTGAAATGTGGCCAGTGTGATTTAGGATTTAAAATTTTATTTAAAAGAGCCAAATGAGATTGGTTGATCCCATATTATACAGTGTAGCTCTAAGTAGCTGAGTCCCAGAGTGGGACAATGAGGCATTTAAGGCCACAGCAAGCTAGTGGTACCATAGAGATTTTCATCTGGTCTATCTCTTTCCAGTAGCAGCAAGGCACAGTAGTTAGGGGCCCAGATCAGCTGACTGCCTGGGCTTACATACAGTACTGATTCACCACTTTCCTGCCTTGCTTTGTGTTTCCTTAATGTCTGACCTCATTTTGAAAGAGGTTAACAATTGTGATTTGTTTTCCTGGTACACTTTCCATATAGGAGGGATGTTATTCTGCTCCTCATTCTTTTACCTTACAACTTTGTATGGGAATTGACCTTGACCTGTAGCTCCTTTCCTGGCAAAGTTCATTTCTCCTTAAGTGTAGGAGTAACTTTTCTAACGTCAGGGCTCCCTCTTCTGTTGTTTTCAGGTAGTGTTTGAAAATACTAGAGTAGGCTTTCTGACTTGAGGGCTGTTTTCCCCGCTCTTAACCTTCTTTCCTACACCTCTCTATTATCCCTACCTGTTATCTATGCTGACACTCCTCAAAGTTGCTCCCTGATGTGGCCCTGACCCAGATGGGTTGGAGCTAGGGCTGCCTGGATCTTGGTTCTAACCCTTATTGGTTTGATAGTTTTAGACAAGTCCCTTGCCCTCCCTATACCGGTTTCCTAACCTATGGGGGATTGGGCATCTACCCAAGTTATAAGGACTGGGTTCACCATAAAGCAATTGGAACAGAGCCTGGCTCTTCAGAAGCACCGCATGTCTTAACTGCTGAGGCAGGGAACAGCCCAAGGCCCAGCTTCCCTATCCAGTTAGGGGATGGAAGCAAGCACTAGAGGCTCCCTACATCATCTGGCATCTTGGCCTTAACCCTCCATGTTTACTGGTCAGGAACGTGGCAAGTCTTTTGTTGTCCCAGCTGTGGGGCTAGAAGAACAGCACAGAAGGTGTATCTGACAGCCAAGTGAAGCATTTTCCAGCTGCTCCTTTGCCAGGTTCTCTGTGGGGTGGAAGCCTGGCCAGAAAGCCAGATGGTGGGAGAGGAAGGGCTAGGGCTGTAGGCAGAGGTGTGGACAGGTCTCCTGAGGTCCCACAGCAAAGATCTGAACTCTCAAAGGCCATGCAAGGCTGAAAGCAGTCTCCGGGAACAGCCTCCAATGGCTCCTTTTTGGATGATCCCCCACCTCCTATGGCTGAGGCCTTTCCACCATCTGTCACCCCAGCTGGGCCCAGTCAGGGGGGCTGAAAGCCTCGCCCAACTCAGTGACTCAGCTGAGAGTCATCTCTATAGCTGATCAGGCTGGGCTCCAGTCTTGTTCCAGACCAACCCCTTGCCAACTATCTTTAAGTACCAGGACTCTTGTCTTACCTCTCTGACCACCCACCTACCATGCCCTAAAGCTGTGCCTTGAACCTAGACCTCCTGCTAGTCACACAAGAACAGGCTTTGTTGTTTCATTCTCCCCATCTGCAGAAGTGAGCTTCAATATAGAGCCTTGCAGGGGATCCAGAGAAACCACTTGAGTCAGGCTGTATGTCTGTGACAAATCTGATTTAGGTTTTTGTGGTTTGCCAGATGAAATAGTTAGAGCATTTTATTTCCAATACATCAGGGTCCTCAAAAAACGCTAAAGATGGTGTTGACCTTTGGAAGAGCCTGTCCAGACTTTGGGGTTGGTCCCAATACCCTAAGTCCACTCACCTACCCAGACTTCACTTTAGTGCTTGCTTCCAAGATCTACCCACAAGTCTGTTGTCTGGGTATATGCCCAGCCTTGCCTGATCACACCTCCCTCAAGTGTCATGAGGTTCGTAGAAGAACCAGTCAACTTTCACCCAAAGTCTCAGCGACCAGTAGCTCCCCTGCTGCACCACACAAAGAAGGGAGGGTACTGCACAGCTGAGCAGAGAACAAAACAGTCTGTAAGCAGAAGCTGGGCTCATCCTCTGGTTAAGAGGCAGCTCTTGACCTTCTTGGCTCAAAAGTACACATATTAAATTTTACCAGAGCATGAGATACATATCTACATATCTGAGATCTTCAGGGTCAACTATGAGTGGCTGACACAGTCTTAAACATCAGGTACCCAATGGACCAGCTACACGTGTACTGGTCTTCAAGGAAGAGCAGCATCACCATTACCTGGAAGCTTAAATGGGTGGGAGAATCTTGGGCCCCACTGAGAAATGCTAAATCAAACAATATTTTAACCAGATCCCCAATGATTTGGGCACAGATTAAAGTAAGGAGCAGCTGTGGTCTTCAGCAGCCACTCTCAACCCTGGCTGTGTATTATGATCACCTGGAGATCTTTTAAAACCACCCATTCTGGGTACTTTTTGATGTAATTGGTCTGCAGTATGGTCCAAGCATTGTTATATTTAAAAGCTCTCCCACAGATGGTTATATAGCAAAGGCTGGGTTCCGTCACTGTCAGCAGAATCCTGGGCCACTTGCTAGCTCTGAGCTGTACTCTCCTAGACTGAAGTGGGAATAACAGTGCCTGTTTCCTAGATTTTAAGGGATTAGGGACTGGAGGATGTCTTTAATGCACAGGAGCTCATCAAAGTGTTGCTGGGAGGAATAATGAGCTCAGATTATTGCCAATTCCTCAAGGGCTGGAGATTTCATTTATTCTCTTCCAGCCCCCTTCCACCTCTCCCAGGTCCAAGCAGCCCCCTTATCCACACAAACGTCCCAGGCAGGCCTGAAGTTGGAGGTGAAGCTGGTGACAGCCTTGCTAGCATCACTTCTGTGGAGCTTAGGTTTAGGAAAACATACTAAGTTCAGCATAAACAGGGGCTCAACTGGCAGTTTCCCTTATTTTAAGAAAATCTTAGAACACTCCAGCCCAACTGGCCTGCTTTGAGAGAGCAGCAGCTTGGTGGTCTCACTAGGGACAGAGCAGAAACTGCCTACTCAGGATATCTCTTGCCTTCCCTCCATCCTACCTCCCAGACACTGCCAATTAATGTCAGTCATTGAAGGTGAGGATGCCTCAATTAGTAGTGACTTAGGAACCAGGCTTCAGAACCCCTGATCCAGATCAATGTTTTCTCATCTCGTCCAATTACAGGACTCAGCCGGCAGTGTTGGTCCTACTTCCCAGGCCTCACCCCAGACCCACCAGGCCAGGGTTTCCAGGAGAGGAATTCTGGAATTTGTATCTTTGGTAATCTCAAAGTAATCCCAAATAACAGCCCCCATTTATTAAGAACTTTGTGTCAGGCATTGTATTAAGTGCCTTTAATTAACTCATTTAATCCTCACAAGAGCCTAGAAGTTAAGAAACATTGCTCAGGATCACACAATGATCAAAAAATGGATCCAGAATTCCACGCCAGGTAGCATGATTGCAGAGCCCTCAAACCAGGAGGCAGCATGGCTTCTCAGGCAGCAGTGTTAAGACTAAGCACAGAACAAGAAGGTAAGGACCTTAACTAGGGCTGGGCACTCTGGAGGAAACAGCGTCAATAGCAGTCCAAAGGTGAGCATTTTCTGCAACCTGGGAGGGCAACACCCAACAAAGAGGCATGAGTTACCCTGGAGCCCTCAGGTTGTCCCTGGACCATCATCCATTCAAAGTGGCTGCCCTACCTAATCAAGGCTTTGGAGGGCTTCCCTGCTCAGAAAGGTTCATCAGGAGCAGGCGGGTACCCTGTGTGCTAAAGGCTAAAACAGGAGTTTCCAGGGAGTCCGTTGACATCGCACCTGACAACCAGCCTTTCCTAGGAGTCTACCCAGGCAGGGAGCAGAGAACAGAGGGATATCTGCCTCACTATGACTTCCCGCCCCTTTATGCTCCACTCCTGAGCGCCAGATCCAGGATCCACCACAGGCTGGTGGGTCCAAATGGGTTTCCTGCTTTTCACTTCCTCCCCTCAAAGAAAAAAAAATGAAATAAAAAAAGCCTTGCTCACCAAACTACACCTTCAGGAAATCAAGCCTACCTTAAATTCCTTCTGCTAATGACTTGTCAAGTGATCTGCAAGGACCACAGTTGGCACAGCCCTGAGTGGAGCAGTAGGAAAATCTCAACATTTGGCATAGTTAAGTGATCTTAATGGGGATAAGTCACATTCTAAAATCTCAAGGGGACAGGCCAGAGTCTAGGTCCCCAGGGAAGGGGACAGATGAGTATAGATTGCAGAGATCAATCTAGCTCCAGAAGAGAGTTTGAGTGGCCTCCTGCTGTTATTTCTGATGTGAGAGCCTTAAGTCAGAGGGGCCTGAAATTTTGAAGGTGAGGGGTGTTGGCAAGGTGACAAATTGATCTACCTTACTTCCAAAGACAGAAACATCCAACAAGAAAAGCAAAACGTCTTGAGGCCACACTCCAATCCACTTCCTCCCTACTCTCATTCAGAGGTCCTACCTTCCCCAGCAGAACAAGGCCCTCCCAGAAGGCGGGTGAGGGCTAAGAGAGCCTTGAGGGACACAAGATCCCACCACTGGTTTGGGGCTCTGGGGCTACACCAAAGTACTCACATCCACAAATACAGCGGCTACAAGACTCCTCAGATCAGGAAACTGACAGGCCTGGCCCAGGCCAGCCCTAAAGTCCCAGGCAGGGCAGGCTTGGGGGGTGGGGCTTGGGCATTTAAAGGGCCCTTGCCGCTGGTTCTCCTTTTCTCCTCTGGGTACAGCTGAAGAACTACAACTCATTCAGCCTGACGGCCAGGTGGCAGTGCTGGAGTGAGACTGCACAGCTGGAAGGTCCAAGACAGGGGACAGGTGCAGACTGACTCTGCCTCATCTGGCTTTAGTTTCCCAATCTGAGCAAATACAATTCTGCCTTTCCACAATGGTTTGGGATCCAGCTGAAGCTCCTCCTCTACGAGAACTTTGTATTTTTTATTTTAGATTCAGAAAATCCAAACAGATGTTCAACAGCACACACACACACATACTCTCTTTCTGGCAAGGTACTGTGTTGGGAGCTTGGAGTTTCTCTCCTCTTCCCAGGTTTCTCAGTGCCCTGGATTAGGAAGGGCAGGACAAGGCCCAGGGACATGCTCTGCATCTTAAGGGTTAGGGCAGCAGCAGTCAGTATTTCCGCTGCCGGGGGAAGAGAGTACTCCCTGAGGACCGGAGTGGGGGGCTGCTGGGGCTGGGGTCCTCTGAGTCCAGGCTGAAGAGGTCCCTGCCAGTGCGAAGGATCTGCTCCTCCAGCTTCTTGTGTCGCTTCATGTCTGAGAGGACCTTGTCTAGGCGGGCTTCCCGTTTCTGGCTCCTGGCTGAGCTTCCTAGAGAAGGGTAAGATGAAAAATGTAGAAGGGAGCGAGGCAGTGTGCACCAGACCTGCCAGGATGTTACTAAGTACTCGGGGAGCATGTTAAACATAAAGACTTTTCAAGCCTCTGAGGTTTAGGGTTGGGCCTCAGATGGGGTGGGCAGCAAAGGCACCAGTAGTGTGAAGACCAGGGAAGAGCATTCCAGATAGGAGAAGGGCAAGTACAAACGCCCCAGGGTAAGAACAGGGAGATCTGTTCAAAGACAGTGTTGACAGCTGGGGGAAACGGTGAAAGATGAGGCCAAAGGAATGATTTACAGGCCATGATAAGGGATTTGGATCTCTAGTTTAGATGGAAATGCCTTTGGAAGCTCTGTGTGTGTGTGGGGGGTTCTCTCCCAACATGCTCTTCCCCCAAGAAGTGACAAGATTTATATTTTAAAAGTATCATTCTGGTTGCTGAGACTGGAGACAGGAAGACCAGTTAGGAACCACTGCAACTATCCAGGCAAGAGATGGCAGCTTTGAAGGTGATGAGGGTGCAGTGTTGAAGGTGGAGAGTAGATGAACTTGGAAATGCTTTGGAGGCAGAGCTCACAAGACTTGCTGCTGCCTTGAATGTTGGGGTAAAAGGAGAAATCAAGAATGGCTTCAAGGGTAAATTCTAGGGAAGGCACGTGGGGTGGGGGATTGGGTCAGATTAGGAGGTGTATATACAGTACTACTGGACTTCTGGGGAGATGGAGATAAAAGGGAAGCAGGACAGAATTATCTGTGATAGCTTCTTAAATGAAAATGGGGTATCAATCTAAACTAGAAAGATGGCGCCACTGGGTGAATGCTCTTTCCTGCAGATACAAGTTGTGTAGCAAGCAAGGCACCAAAAGGCCTGTTTTAGGGAGTCAGCTATTGACCAAGTGGGAGTGGAGGTCTCCCTTCTTGTTTGTACCTGGGGTGCGTCTCCGGTCAATCAGAGAGTCCTTTGGTGTCAATGGCTCATCGTCAAAGTCAAATTCTGTGGGCATGTGCGGTCTGGTACAAATGGACAGAAAGTGAAGGGTGAGGATGGTCCCCTCAGGCTCCCACACACGTGTTTCTCCCCAGCCTGCAGGCTTTTCCTCTTCTACTCTCCTCCCTCCCTCCACTTCCCAAGCTCTCGGGTACCACCTCCCCTCCCAATGTCCTCCAGGCATCAGCAGTGCAGCCCCAGGGATGTAAACAAGTGTAAGGGTGTGCCCTCACTTTTCCTCTTCCTCCTCTTTGGCCTCTGGCTCCTCATCGGATCTCTCCTCTTCGCTCTGCGCATCAGGCGTGGGTGGTCGGCGGGGCAGGATCTCAGCCTGAAGCTCCAGAGTACCGTGGGCAGCCAACAGTTCATACAGCCTCTGGATTTCGGAGGGGGGTGGCATCCAGGGCTGCCCATCCTCGGGCAGCTCCATCTCCTCATCGCTGCAGAGCACACACCAGTCCTCGGATTTTCCCTTGGCTTGCTCTTCCCCCTCAGCTCTGGGGACTTCTCCCTGCACCTCCTCGACCCCAGACCTCTGAGGCTCAGCCTCTTTCCGGCCTCCTCCCCCTTCTTCCTCGGCATTATTGGCCGAAGCAGAAGAGCTTCCGGTATCCACCACAGCTAGAGCTTGGAGGCCAGAGGTCACTTGCCCCTCTTCAGACAGAGGCGCCACTGTGGTGGCCGCAATGTCTCCAAGACCGCGGACAAGGGTCATAGGCCACTAGGGAAAGGGCCCTGTGATAAGAGGCGTAGAAGTACTAAACCGAGGAGGGGGTCCCCTGCCCCACAGCGGCTTGGGTTCCCCAGGGGTTTGAGAATGTCTCTTCAACCAATCAGGCTCCAAGAGCGCGGCCCCTGCAACCAGATAGTCTGTCCCCAGGAGGAGGCGCTTAGTCCCCGGCCGGAGAGCTGCTTAACCGTTCTTCTCACCTTCACACCGCCCCTCTCCACACTACGCAGCGCCCTCTCCCCACACCTCGCAGTTCTGCCTCCTCAGTCGCCGTACCCTCCCGCAACTACGACCCGCCTCCCGGGCTGCGCAGAGCCACAGTACGCAGGCGCACAGAGATGGCGCGAGAAGCGCCACTCTAATCAGAACTACTTGGAAGAGGTAAGCAAGAGAGGCTTGCACATGCGCAGGTAGGCTTGGCACACTAGGCTTCTGCCCACAGTAAAGATGGAGACCTAGGAGGGGCATGCGCACGTCGCCCCGCAATTCTTCTGTAACGGCGGCGATACCAGAACCCACAGCAGACGGATGTTAAGGACCAACTAAGAGTGGAGGCGAGTCTCATGCAGTCTCCGTTTATTGACGTTTCAGACTCATGCAGCATCCGGCATACAAAAAGGGGTAATCAGTTTGATGTATCCTTTTTTTTTTTTAAGACTTTTTAGTTTTTTTCCCCACACTTTTTTTTAGAAAACAAAGACCTTCGAATCGCGTCATAGCTGGATCCCCGCCTCCCCAGCGGACTGTTGGGTGCGACAAACCTCCCTCGATCTTTTAGAGAGTAATTATAGAGCTCCCACCCCTCCCTCGCTCCCTGCAGCTGAGAGCTTTGGTCCTATTTTGGGGGTTCTTTTGTTACAAAGCACGTGACCACAGCCCCGCTGCCTTTATAAACTCGTTGACTGGTTTAAGAAGCCCAGGTAGGGCAAGTCCACTGGCCTGACCAGGGAGCGGCAGCAATCGCCGCCCTCCCTTCTCCCAGTGCTGTTTGAAACAGTGCTCGCCACCCCTGCCTAAGTCCCCCAAAGAGGCCTGCCTGGCTTGCCGGCAGTGCGACCCTGAGGCGCCCGGGGGACGTCTGGACAGTCGGAGAACAGTCGGAGCCCTGGGCTAGGGAGCCCTCTCCTTACACCGCTCCCTCCCCGTCTTATCTAAGTGCTGGAATTTTTGAAGAATAAACAGTGGCAGGAGGATGGGGGAGAGGATCCTGAGGAGAGGAGGAAAGGTAGCTGAGGGAAGATGAGGCAGAAGAAGAAAGTGGTGGAGCATGAGGAGAGGGAAGGGGAAATTATAAAGGAGAGAAGGAAGAAAGGAATGGGGGAATATGCCAAGACAATGAAAGTTGGGAGGGGGACACCAGAGTTGAAGTGCAGGGAATTCAGGGCATTGGAAGAAGTGCAGGAAGGCTGGGAGAGATGCAAGGGGGCTGAGAACAGAGTTTGGAAGATGTTCAAGGAAGTTTCCAGAAGTCAGGAGGTTTCCAGAAGTGCAGGGATGGGAGGCCAAGAGGCTGGACGGAATGCAGGCAGAAGTGCAGGAAGGTTGGAAACAGTGCAGGGAAATGGGAGGCCTATGTTGGCAGAGGAGCCTGGCAGGATGCAGGAACAGGAAAGAAGCTGTAAACAAGGCCGCCCAGGCTCCCTTGGTCCCCTTGGGTGCAGGCCTGGGCCATCAATTAGGCTCCTCCTGGGGAGGATGGGCCCAAGGCAGCTCCCAACAGGAAGAAAACTCTTGGAATGCAGGGCAGAGCCCCTCACTTATACACTGTGGGAGAGGAGAGGGAGGGACAGAGAGGGTTAGGGGGGAGGGGGAGACAAGGAGAGACAAAGGAGAAGTAGGGAGGACAGACAGGAGAGAGCAGGGGCAGGGGTTAGTAAAGCTGCCCTTGTCAACCCTACCATTCCTCCCAGTCTGTCCCGGACCCCCACTCACCGCCTAAGTTGATGATGCAGGAGGCGATGATGATGAGGACCCCCCCTACCAGGGCCACGATGCTTAAGAGCTTGGCCACGCGGCCCAGACGCTGGGCCCCATCCACGTCCCCCTGCTGCAGGCTGTTCCGGGACTGGGGTTAGGTGAGGGGTGGGGCACCACAGCCCAGTTCAGGAGAAGCCAGCCCAGCAGGGATCAGGTGAAAGAGTCATCCAGAGGAGATAGGCCAGCCCCATGGACAGTGGTTAAGGGAAGGAGGGTTGGAAAGGCAAGGCGAAGAGGGCACAGGTCAGCAAGGCAGTGTGAAACATGTCTTGATATCCCTCCCACCTAAAGGGGTAAGGCAATCATGGCTCAGAGGGTAGAGTCCTAGGGAGAGGCAAGCAAAGGCCCCATAATTGGGAAGTGAGATCCATGCAGAGAGGGAAGGTGAGGTTACTCCTGGGGCTCTGTCCTAGCAGTGGCCGGAATCTGGGAGTCACATCAGGCCTGGGCCAGGGTCCCATGGGGCTCACCATGACGGCGTAAGCGAAGGCCACGATGTTGACAGGCCACATGGGGCAGAAGCAGGACAAGATGGCGAGGATGATGTAGTCCCGAGGTTTCTGAGTGCCTTCACCCCCCTCCACCCCAGATCCTGCTAGCTGGGAGCTGGAGTGGCGGCTCAGACTACCTCGGGGAGATCCTGGATGCCCACTGTGACCCCTTCTTAGTCGGTCCTCCTCAACCAGCTGCTGTAGCACACGGGGAGGAGCCCCATTGGCTGGGGTTTTTTTTGTAGAGGGTGGTGAGTGAGGTTGGGGGGCTGGGCCCTCTTCCCCATCACCAGCCTGCAGAGGAACCACAGCCCCATTCTCCTGTTTTTCCCCCATGCTCTCAGTCAGAGTCTCAGGGGTAGGGTCCTCCTGGGTAGGGGTCTCTGGCTGAAGGGCTGGCTTGGGGATGGGCTGGGAACCTGACTGGGGATCTGGCTGAGGGTCTGACTGGGGGTCTGCTGGGGGAGTAGGTTCTGAGGCTGGCTCAAGTGAGGCTGCAGACTCCAGGTTGGAACCCTGGTCTGCAGTGGCCTCTTTGCTCACTTCTGGTTTGGGTGCTGACTCTTGGCATGCTTCTTTGGGGTTAGGGTTGGCCTTCGATTCCCCTCCTGGGCCTGAGCTGAGGTCTCTGGCCTGGGCTGTTTCTGGGGCCCCAGCTGGGGTCTCTGTGTTTTCTGGAGCCAGTTCAGCCTTGGGCTCTAAGTCCACAGGGTCCCCAGCGATGTCTGGGCCTGGTTGCAGGGCCTCTGGTTCTTCTGGGACCTGGAGAGGGCCAGTTTTGGCTTCAGGATGGCCAGGCCCTTCTCCCTGGGTCTGGGGACCCTCCTCTATCTGCTTCATCTTAGAGACCTCAGAGCTGCTGACTGCCATCTTGAGATGGGAACAGGGAGAGGGCCTCTGTGGGGAGGTTAGAGCAGCAGAGACAGCAGCAAATCCTGAAAGAGGAGACAGTCTTGGTATGAGGAGGGAAGAGGTGGCTCTCAGCACTACAGCTCAAGAGGGCTATGCTCCTGTCACAGGGCCAGCCTTGGGTTGCCTCTGGGAAGAGGAAGAAAAGTTGGGGTTTCCTTTGCCTTGGGTGGGACAGTCTGGGGAGGGGAGGGGTGCTCTGCTCAGTCTTCCACTAGGAGAGCCCTGGGAAGATAAACCCTTTTGTAAACAGGACCCTCCCGTGGTCTCTTCCTGGGTTCACCCAACAATACCCATACTCAGATCCCATAAGATGCCCCAGCACCCCCAAATCAACAAGCTGTATAAACACTCGTTCACTCCGACAGGCAGACTGGGCAAATGACTCGATACTCACATTCCACTCCCTCTGCATCCTCCCCTCTCCCTGGGCGCCCAGCCGGTGCGGTTTTCTTGCTGTGTGTTGGGCATGCAGACGCCCCTGCCCCTCCCTGGGAGGGCCTGATATCTCCTCTGAGCCCCTTCTCAGACCCTCGCCCAGGGATTCCCTCACCCCCGCGGGACCGGCGCCACCTCTCCCACTGGCGTGGCCCGCCCAGCACCATCAACCAGTCCGCCAGGCGCCCGCATGCTTATGCAGCCCTCTAGGAGCCCGTCGTCTGTCCGTGCGCGTATCCCACCCTCGGCCTCAGTCCATCCCCGTCTCACCTCGACGTCGGCCTCCAGACTGCTCCCGCTGCTGCCGCCACCGCTGCGTTGCAGCAGCCGCAGCAGGGAGGGAGCGAGTCAGCGAGCGAGCGAGGGAGGGAGGCGGCGGGTTTCCCCTCCTCTCAGGTCCCCACCCCTCCCCTACGCGCCGCCGCCGCCAACGCACGCCGCCCCCGCCCCTTGCACGCCTCCCGCCGCTCCTCACCGGGAGGGAGCCTTGCGTGCCAGGCCCCGCGTTACCCGGGCAACCTGCCGGGGGTCCGCTCATACCCCCTCCCTGTCCCTTCTCACGCGCGCCTCCAAGGGGTGCCCCATTCCCAAGCCCCGGGCCCCTCACGCCAACGGTCACCGGGGGTCCTGGCAGACGCAGGATTTGGAGGAAACGGAGGGGTCTGCGAGGAGACAGAACCAGAGACAGGCAGGATGGGTGGAGGCACCCCGACAAGCAAAGAGAAGGGAGGCAAATCTTGGGGGGCTGCACATAAGTATGGTGGGGTTTCACAGGAGAGCCTACAGAACAGGAAGTCCCCCTACCTCCAAGGAAGTAGCAGCAGAAATGGATACTGTAAAGTTCAAGAAAAGGTCCCTGGAAGGGAAGAAGCCAGGACTGGAAAGGGGATTCCAAGCGGCAAGGCCAAGGCTGCAAGGGCAATCTGGAATAGTAGGAGGGGGCTGGGGCGGAGGAGCCCGAGTAAGCGCAGGGTGGAAGGTGCCAAGAATGAAACGGACAAGTGCAGTTTCTATTCCGGACCTCACTGCTCCGTTCTAGGGCTCAGACTCCCCTAGCCTTCCTGCAGCAACATCCACCACCACCACCTCAGAGCCTTAGGGATGCACAGGTATTTGGGTGGGGACTGAGCAGCAGGTAGTGGGTATGGATGGGGGTGAGAAGCATCTTATGTCCAGCAAGCCCATTTGGATTTCTCACCCAGGCTTCTTCAAACCTCCAGTGGCTATTCTGGGCCTGTCCAGGTTGAGTATTCCCCAGAGACCTGGGGGGTCCTGGAACTTGCTCTCCACGGCCACCGTACCCTGACCCTGAATCCGGCTGCAGCCACTGATGCTGCCTCTGGGGAGGAGCCAGGGCCCCAAAGCTGGGCAGGGCAACTGGGACTGACAGGAGGTGCAAGTAGAAGCCCCTTGGAGGCGGGGAACTGGGGGCCTGGTAAGAGCAATTCATTTTCAATCGAGTCACAGACAGGTTTTTATTTAAAATTTATTGTAATCGGGTCCGCGCAGAAAAGGGGGGGGTGAAGGGAGGGGAACATGCAGGGGACACAGGAACACGATGACATGGCCAGAGCCACAGCTTCTGTCGTGGGAGAGGAGGATGAAAAGAAAAGGCCAAGGCTGGAGCTGGGATGGAAGAGGGAAGTGGGATACACTGCAGCTGCATTCCCCCCACTCCCAGGAAGCACCTCTAGTCCCTGGATCCCCCTCATTTACCCTGGCTCCCTAAGAGTCCATCTCTCATCCTGCCTCTGGCCCTAGTGGCTCCTCCTTTTGCTCCCCTTGACTTGTTTTCCCCTGACGGAT